GCAAGGTTTCTCGTCATGACAAACATTTTAAGTATATGGTTTATGGGGGTGTGACTTGTAGTTTTCTCAAAAGTTCATGGGTACTTTTGGCTTTATATATAGATATATATTTATATATGTGTCCGTTAGCGCGAAGTACAGCCACAGCCTTCTGTAGGTCAGCACAAGTTATTGTTTAACAACACTTCAGCCTACTCACACAACATTTCCAAACACTTCCTCTTCACAATATTTGACTACTATTACGCATGGTGTGCTTTATACTTAGTTATGTATGTATTCATTATGATGAAAAACATGTTAGAAAGAGATAGGCTATTAACCCTTCCAGGCAGGGCCTGATTACCCATTAATTCCTTTTAAATATGAAAAATCATAAGGTTAACATGGGAAACTCCAGAGCCACTGGGGCGGAGCCCGAAAGCCCGATCAGAATAAAAACTACTTAGTTTTCCTATTTAATGCCCAAAGAATCGGTGTACCGAATTTCAGCCTCCTAGGTAAATGGTAAGTGGGAGAATTAGTGATGACTGAGTCAGTGAGGGCTTTGCCTTTTATACTGTATATTTAGAAGATATATGTCCGTTAGCACGATAACTCAAGCAAAAATTATCCAATTTTGATGAAATTTGGTACAAACGTGTAAACCTACATTTATTCGAACGAGTTCGCGAAACCAGCATGATCGGACTATGGGAACGGGGGTTTATGGGGTTTAAATAGGTTTTTTTTCCATTTTTGACTCTAAATACACAAAATTTCACAATTTCTTTTTTTAAACCATTTTGTAGAGCCTAAAAGACAAATATTTTAGTATATTGAAGCGTTATTATGCGCCAAATGGTTATGGAGAAAATTCCAAAAAATTTTAAATTTAAAATTTCCATGTTATTCTTATTGAGAATAAGTCAACTGTTGTAGTTTGCTTGTTTGATTGTTTAAGAACATATTTTGATAAAATTTGGAAAATACATTCATTTCTTACTCAAATATTAACATAAAAAAACACTTTTTTACCCACCCCTGTTGCAGCAAACCTAAGTACCCTACTCGTTAAACTAATTCTATTTAAATAGGGAATAAATGTGAGCTATCATGGAAACCCCACATAGACCAGCTCTGCAAAAAGCTAAGTTCAAGTCTCTACGTTATACGTAGGATCAAGCAAGCTTGCAGCCCAGAAGTAGCCAAAGTTGCATATTTTGCTCTATTCGAGTCCCACCTCAGATATGGCATTGCGACTTGGGGTGGAACATCAAAAGGCAACCTGGAAAGAGTACTCCTAAAGCAAAAAAGAGCAATTAGATGCCTTGCCGACCTGAACTACAGAGACAGTTGCCGAGAAGCCTTCAAGAACCTTAAAATTCTCACATCAATTTCACTCTACATAAGAGAAGTCATTATCCACACCACTAAAACAGCCCAGCCAAGACACAGAGACATACACCAGCACAACACACGACATGCCGCCAATTTTTCCCTCCCACAACACCATCTGAGTCTGTACGAGAAGAAACCATCCTACAAAGGTGCTCTGTACTTTAACAACCTACCAGAGCACCTCAAGAGAGAACAACCCAATCTGCTCAAGAAGCACCTGACAACATGGCTTATGGACCGGCCGTTCTACTCTGAGGATGAATTCTTAAACAATAAGCTACCATGAAAAAAAGAAGAAAAAAATTCTAATTGTAATTGCAAATTACTGTAATAGTTTACGTACATACTGTACATTTTATGTACCTGACGCATGAATGTTCTCTAGGAATATTTCAATAAAGATTTTGTCTATTGTCTATTGTCTATTGTCTATTGATATTTTTAAGGAGGTATTTTAGTATAAATCCAATTAGGCAAATGGAAATTCGCTTTGTCTGCAGGTTTGCTGCGGCGGGGGTATTACTGGATTATTAACCACAAATGCAAATTGTGAACAACAACATGCAAACAAAGAAAATAATAATACAACAATCAGCTGTTAAATTATCAACACATGTTTCATATGATTAGATTATGCATACAGCAAACTCATTTCTGTCATAAATCCTTACAAACATCAGACATTCATAATTACTAGTGCACCTGCTGCTCCAATTCGAGCAATTGCAAAGAATTACAGGTATTATATATATTTTAAAACAAATAACAGTCACAATTTCTGATGACTTAAAAGATTCAACTCAAAGATAATGTAATAATTAACTCCACTCCAGTTATCGAAACTGAAAACGATTGCTCTTGTGTGTATCATGTGTGTTTATTACAAACAGCTGTAATAATACAAATTATTCGTCTGTTTAAGTAAACTAAATCTTCTCTTCTTAAGAAATACATTGGGATTTTAATGGCCTGTGGGGCAAAGCCCGAGGAATTTTATTGCAGGAATCGGTGAAAGGGGGCGTCTACTCAACAAATACTTAATTTTTGACACGTCGCTTGTAAAAATCCGTCCATTATTAACGGAGGAGTAGCGTTTCGTAGAAACCGCCTTCACGTATTATTTATATAAGGATTAATGGATGAAACATTCCATTGACCTATTATTTAACTAAATCTGCCAAATAGAACTGTAGATTCAATTCTACAAAGTTAAACAAAAATACTATTCTAATTCAGTATTTTCTAACAACTATAAATTTGGAATCATTTAGCTTATTTGCCAATAACTTTTAAATTGTCAGATAATAGACGAAAGTAGAAAATGATATTCAGAAAGAGAATAAAATTTCCTATATATTAATACTACTCAATAAAGGCAGCCCAAAGTTAGCTACTTGAATATGACAGTTTTTAATGTATTCTTGATTTTTACTTTTTTACTACAAATTTCTTACAAAATACAACCTACATTTATTGTAACGAGTTTGCGAACAAGCATGATCGGACCATGGGAAATAATTTATGTGGTAAAAATGGGGTTTTCCCATTTTTGATCTAAAACATAAAATTTTAGAATTTCTTTCCCAACCATTTTGTAGAGCTTAAAAAAAGAAATAATTTAGTATATTGAAGCATTGTTGTATGCCTAATGGTTACGGATAAAATTCAAAAAAGTGTAAATTTAAAAATCCTATGTTATTTTTATGGAGAAGATGAAAATGTTGTAGTTTACTTGTTTATGGATGTATCTTGATAAAATTTGGCAAATTTATTTATTTCATGTTATACTATTGACGTTTGGTCAAAAAACACTTTATACCTTCCGCGTAGCAGCAAACCTAAGCACTTGTTAAATCAATGTTATTTAAATTGGGAATAAATATGTCCTATTTATGGAAATAATTTAGTAAAAATGTAATCTGACAAGTAGAAATTCACTTAGTCTGCAGATTTTCTGCGGCGGTATTTAATTTTTCTTCTGGAGTAAAACCCACTCCACTTACTTATTACTTTTTGTTATGATTTTGTTTGTTTGCTTACTATATTCTTGAGTAGAATCATTTTTGAGTTTTGAAAACAAATTATTGTTTAAGTCCTGTAAGACTTGTTTTAAATGTCTTTATCACTGTAGTCTTCAATATTTAATACTAGTGTAGTATTGCTTTTGTCTGATTTATAATCGTAGCTTTCAATTATTATGTTCTAATTTATTGGCTATATATTTTATTCTGCAAAAATCTTTCTTTGATTTGTTGATTGCTTTTGTTTGTTCACCCTGGATTTGGGGTTTTTCATATTCATGAATAAAATTATGTCTTAAATAGCCATTTAATAGCCAATTGAATGATGGAAACGACCAATATGGTAGTGCATTGGCAATAGCAAATAAATTTAACAATTTTTTTATAAATGTTTCACAAATTGCTAACCAAATGACAGATAAAGATAAATCCATTCACCTACTAAACAATAGTCAACATTTAATTAGGTTTCAAAATTCTGCTTTACAATTTAAATTTAGGAAAATTTCAGTTCAGGATCTAAGAAAAGTTTTTACCAGTCTTAGCAATACTAAATCTTCAGGTTGGGACAAAATTCCCCTCTTTGTTATTAGTAGAGTTTTTAAACTTATTGAACAACCTCTCTGCACACTAGTGAATCAGTCCCTTGAGGAAGGAATTTTCCCTGAAAAACTTAAATATGCAGGGATAAAACCTCTTTTTAAAAAGGGTGATGTTAACAATCCTTCTGACTACCGACCGGTTGCTCTTTTGCCCTGTTTTTCCAAAGTTTTTGAAAAAATTGTGAAAACTCAACTTACAGATTATTTGGAACAAAATAATTTACTAAATCCATCTCAGTTTGGTTTCCACTCAAAATCCAGTACGGAAAAGGCTATTACCAGGATGATTAACTGCATTGCGGAGGCCTTGGACGGGTCGCAGCGCACAATAGGTGTGCTGTGTGACCTGTCCAAGGCTTTTGACTGTGTTGATCATGATATATTGCTAGAAAAATTAAGTAAACATGGAATAAAAAATGTGGAATTAAAATGGTTCATTTCATATTTAAAAAGCCGTAAACAAAGAATTATATTACAGAAATGCCAAACCAAATATAAGTCAGAGTGGGGTTACACACCCTACGGAGTTCCTCAAGGTTCCATTCTTGGACCTTGTTTATTTTTAATTTATGTAAATGATTTATGTAATGCTACAAAAATGCATACTTTTCAATATGCAGATGATACTGCTTTAATCTGCACTGAACAAAAAACATTGGATTTTAAGCAAGACTTAATTACTAATGAGTTTCAACTCCTCGGGGACTGGTTCACACAAGGGCGGCCCCAGGGGGGGGGGGTACGGGGGGTCATGACCCCCCCCAAAATATTTTTTATATACATAAACTATTATACCAGGGAAACATTAATAATTTTTATTGCAAATCGTTTTACCAAATTGAAATTCGTTGTAGTCTTTACACTTGTAGCGAACGAAAGGACTAATTACAAAGTCTAACCTAAAACTTGGAATCGTTCAAGTCTGATTATGTTTTTGTACGTTATGAAAAGTAGGGAAGATCATAAATCCAATCTGGGTTACAGAATCACAAAAAAACATGGTTAAATATCTTTTACTTTTTTATTTTACAAAATCTACATACACTAGGCTATATAATTCTAACATTGCACCTTAACTAGCAATAGCAGCAAGTTTTGTTAGAGGTTCTTTCCCAACAATGGTGACTAGTTGGTTGTAGTCATTGGCCTCAAGCTTCACTGAGCTATTCAGATTTTGAGCCATCCTGACAGTTTCTTCAAAACCAACATCATAGCAATATTGGATGCACCACTGCAACAGTTGGTAATTGAAATAAATATGCATTAATACAACAGCAGCCTACAGAATTATTCAATTTATCCTTATCCTAGCCTATGTTTGGCTTTAAGTCCCTAAATATTAATTTTTGTTTGTATAGTATTGTAAGGTCCCAAATTTCACCTCTATTAAATTTTAAATTAGAGCGGGAAATGTTACCGGCAGTGTCCACCCGCCGCACTAGTAGCGTCTTAAGGACGTAGTGGTAGGGGTAGGGCGAGAGTTCTCCAGGACCTAGGATCAACCGGACTCGATCGGCTGGCATGAAGCTGGTCACTTCTCTCCTCTACTCCCTCTAAACTAAGGCAGGAACCCAAGTTGGTCTAACCCACAGAGTGGTATAGTAAAGGTTTAACATAGTCGTCGTCCCTATTCCGGATATTGAACAGTAAGTACTCCGGTATTAATTTTTCTAAATTTAATATTATTATGGTAGTGGCTTTTGTCATTCCTTTTTGGTGGAAATTTTAGGCTGGCTAGGCTACGATAGTTAATTGAAATAGGTTAAACTCTTAATAGGACTACTCAGTATTATTGCTAGTTGTGGCTGGAGCTTCAATTATTTCTTGGTGTAGACTAATAGGGGTCTACTACAGTATTTGTATTAAAATTATATTGTTAGTGGACGGGCGAAACAGCTCACGTCCATCGATAGTAGCTTGGCTCTGCACTTGCCACTCATAACCATAAATTATAGTGGTTATAGAACGTATTTTTTTTTTTGTATTAAATTGAATTGTTGGGTGACGGGCAGAATAGCTTTGCGGCCATGTAGACGTTATCATCGTCTCCTGGGATCGCAGTAACATCGTCGTCGTCGTCCGCGATCACGGTCGCGGCAAAAACATCTCCTGCGGCCGTGTAAACATCATCATTGACTCCCGGGGTCACAGAAACATCATCGTCGTCTTGCAAATGCCGGCAAAATATTGAAAATTTCCTGTGGCCGTGTAGTTATCATCATTGTCTTCCACGATTGCGGCAACATCATGAACATCTCTTGCAGCCATCTTGCAAATGGGGGCAAAATCATGAAAATCTCCTATGGCTGTGTGTTATTTATCATTATTACCATGAACATCACTCGCGGTGGTATAGACGTCACCATCGTCTCCCGCGGTCACGGAAACGTCTTTGTCGTTCTCCAGGATCGCGGCAAAATCATGAATATCTCTTGCGACCATTTAGACGTCATTATCGTCTCCTGGGATCGCAGTAACGTTATCGTCCGCGTTCGCGGCAACTGGTGACTGTTTTTGGTACCGACATTTTGCCATCGGTTCTCGGTTCTTTTGCCAAGAACTGGCGGAACATACGTTTGACGTGAAGTACAACCCATCACTATTAGAGAGGAAATTGTGAATATGTAATAAAGAACTATTATACAATTAATATACCTTGTGCATATTGCTAAATTATTAACTCTTAGGAGGTGGACTTTTCAGAAACTAGAGTGCAGCTCAGTTGACATTTTCAACTGCTGAAGAGTTATACTGTATTCAGGGCATGTACGTTGACATTTAAGGCACTATAACTATGCATTTTAGTTGAAATTTTACGCTTAACTGCTTATTTAAGTTTCACACATGTCAAACACATATTTGAATTAAGTAGAATTTCAGGTTTAAATCCAACTTACAAGTGCATTTTTGACTTGTTTCTTTTCTATGCTCTTGTCTAAGAAGGCCGAGAGGCTCCTGATGGAAGGGACGCCGAGTACTTGGTTTTGTCTCTTCTCGAGACAGTTGAGGATCTGAACAGCCTCTTCATACCTGTCAGCCCTCAGCAACACTTCCAGTATATCTCCCAGCATCTGTCCTGTCCAGCTGTAACACACAAACACACTGGAGATTGATACAAGATCAGTCTATTAGGTGTGCACATCTGCACAGTAAAAGTGCTGTCTTCAGTCTTTCTTTCTAAGAACTAGCTGATCTGCATGAAGGGGATTCAACAGAAGTAACACAGGCATTGCTATAATATTTCCTATCACAAGAGTAGAGTTGTAGGTTTCATAAAGGATAACCAATGACATCTACATTTTGTTTTTACCCTACAATGGAAAACCCTAGAACATTTATAATAGGCTACCTTTGGAATGCTCGTATAGAATGATCTAACATGAGGGAGTCAAGATTTAAATGGGTGAAAACCCTTATATTAGGCTATGTGAAGAGATAATTTTTATATATTATGTACCTTTACTGTATTTTAATTTAAATCCATACGGTTGGCCATGTTCACATGAGCCACACATCTAGCTGGCTGGCTGTGGCTAGAATTTGCCACGGTTCGGCGACATACAAGTTCAACTAGATCGCAGACGTCATGTAAACAAATGAGAATTGATAAAGGCAAGTATGCGAGCTGCAACATGACTACCGACTGCACGTGTGAACGCTCTCATATGGCTGTGTACTGCTACGCCGCAGAGCTAGTGACTAGCTAGCCGTGGCAAATTGTGACACTCAGATAGGAAGTGGACCCTGGCGGTAATTTGCGACAACAAGCTCGATCGCTGCTGCCGTACACTCAAGTGAACAGCTTCATTTGATGCTGTGGTCCGTTATGTTGCGCCTATGACCTATATCACACACTAGCAGCTAGATGTGTCGCTCACGTGAGCCGGGCCTAAACGTAGGCCTGTCAGTTTTGCAATGGAATTTAATTGACAGCTATTTGAATTATAATGTTAACAAAGCTCCAGGTTTCACTACAATCACAATATTTAAAACTCAATCTTTTGTCCAAGTTCTTCTAACAAACGTCTTTTGAAAAATAAAGGCTAAAAGCAATGAATAAATTATCCCCAAAACATAAATTAACGATGCAAAAACAAATTATACCTGACATACAGTTCAGTATAGTATGAACCATTCTCTATGTATACTGCTGATGTGTTGGCACCTAAAGGGAATTCTTGGTATCATCTGTTTAAGGGTAAAATATACCAGTACTGAGAACCGACCTAAAAATGTCTGTACCAGTACCGGTACTTCAATACCAACAATAGGATAATATTGACAAAGACATAGTCTAATGACAAAGGCTAGTGCTGTTGTGGTCTGTGTGGATTGCGATTGTGGCGACCAATAACTTTTCTACACAGAATTTTCAAATAATTAACCCTGCCCAATCGGCAAAAACAATCAATTGAAAATTACGATTTACCAGCTGACGTTGGGAACGTTATCTTGGCAGCTGTCTGCCTTGTTTGTTTATGTTTACATCGTCATTTCACAACAGTGTTTATATCATGTTGAATTCTATTTTTCGTTTGCAAATAGTTGTTTTATAAAATAAATAAGATGAGTAACTTTTTATTTGTTGATGAGTGTGGAAGGGAATTGGACGAAAGTGAAATTGCTAAACTTATTGAATGTGACAGTGACTCAGACAATGATTGTTATTTATTTGAAGAAAGGCTTGAGAGTGATGATGAATTAGAAATAAACAATGAACACGTAAGTGAAGCATGCAATAGTATAAGTGTTGCTGACTGTGAACCTCAAGATTTAGCTGATAATGGTGTGACAGAGCATGCTAGCCCTAGGCCTGTTATAAATAGTGATTGTTTGCATGACCTGCATGTTAGGCCTAAGCCTGTAAATAATGATTGTTTGCATGACCAGCCCTCCTGTAGTTATGCCAGACCTATGTCCCCTCAAAATGTGCCTAATAGGCCTAGTCCTGTGTCCTATGAACAGCAAAGTTCTGATGATGAAAACCCTGTTAGATTTATGGAAAAAATTTACCGAGGTAGGGTAATTGCACCTGCACTATCTCCTACACCCAGTGAGGAGGCTGAGGCTGATGACCCTAGTTTTATTGAAACCATTCCTTGTCAAGTACCTGAGTATAGTAGAGGTGCAACTATTGGTAGATCAAGGGGAAGGGGAAGTCAAAGAGGTAGGCCTAAAGGAAAAAATCCTAGTTTAGTGCTACCTAAGCCTAAGCCTACTAAACGGTCTAAGGGTCAACCTAAAACAGCTAAGAAAAAGAAAAAACAAGGTTGGAAATGGACCAACACCATAGAAGACAATAGTATTTTCAAAATACCTTTTACAGGCTGTCCTGGTGTCAGGGCAAGCTTAGCAAGAAATTTAGGTCCTTCTCCATCTGAAGTTGAAGTATTCAACGCATTTGTCGAGGATGATTTTTGGCAACATGTTGCTACAGAAACAAACAAATACGCCGAAGAGACAATTGAAAAAAATAATGCAAGTGGTAAAGATAAACAGTTACTCTCTGAATGGTTTGAAACAACTCCTGATGAAATGGCATGTTTTTACAGTCTATGTGTTTTGATGTCACTTGTGAAGAAAAGGACCATTCAATCGTATTGGGCCCCTACTGCTACTACTGAGACTCCGTTTTTTCGAAAAGTTATGCCTTTTCGTAGGTTTTTGCTCTTATCAACAATGTTCCATATTTGTGATAATAAAAATAAGCCTCAGAATGACAAACTGTGGAAACTGAGGTATGTCATTGATTACATGAATCAAAAGTTTTCACGTTTATATTTGGCCGATGAAAACATTGCAGTAGATGAAAGCTTGATGAAATTTCGTGGGAGGTTGGGGTATTCAACCCCAAGAAAAGAGCCAGGTTCGGAATCAAATTTTACAAATGTTGTGAGTCAAGCAGTGGATACTGTACAAAATTTAAAATATACACCGGTGCTGAAGTGAAACAAGGCGAAACAGTGGAAGAAGGGGGTGGAGACACTGCTGAGGATGATAAACTTTTGGTGAGCGAGGCCATAGTCATTGAAATGGTCAAGGAATGTTCCGGTAATGGTCATACCCTCACAATTGACAACTGGTATTCCTCACCTCTCCTCTACTATAGATTGAAACATATTGGTTTCAAACAATGTGATTGGGACGGTAAACTCTGGGAGGACAAATATGCCTGACAGTTTCAAAAGTGGAAAACTTGAGGTCGGTGATTATGAAGCTGCGTTTAGCCATGACATGATGGCCCTTAGATGGCAAGACAAGAAAGAAGTGTGTCTCTTGTCTACTTTCCACAGTAAGGGAGACAAAAAAACAACCGGTAAGAGAGACAGAGTCAGCGGTGAGGTGATTACCAAGCCTGAACCCATCCTGTATTACAACAGCTCGATGGGCGGTATCGACCGAGAAGACCAACAGCTCGCTTCTTTTCCTACGATGAGGAGATATGCTAAAGGGTATAAGAAGATTTTTTTTATATTTTGGACATAGCTCTCTTCAACTCTTATGTTGTTTTAAAAAAAATCACCCAGAAGAAGATAGGATTTGCTGAATTCAAAAGTAAATTTACGGAGCAAGTTTTCCAGACCAGACAACTACCGGCCTACAAACGAAGAAGGCGGCCATCAACATCTGAAACCCCTCTACGGCTTCAAGCAGCTTCTTGGGGTCATTTACCAAGACAAATCCCACCTAATGAAGTAAAGCAAAACCCATCAAGACGCTGTAAAGTTTGTAGTGCACAAGGGAAGCGTAGTGACAGTCGGTGGGAGTGCGAAATGTGCCTTGTTGCGCTTCACCTACCCGAATGTTTCAAGACCTATCATACTAAATTGAACTTTGCTTGATATCTTTTTGAGTCTACAACATGTCAATCAGTATTTTAAGGCAGAACAGTAAGATATTTTTAACTTTTATAGTCAAAATTTTTTTTAAAAGGCAAAAATAAAAAAAATTATAAATTTTTTTTGTATTATATGGTATAAAAAAATAATAAAAATACTTTTAACCAATAAAATGTTTGTTTTTTTAAATCTAAATTCAATTCTGATTAGAAAAATAACAGTATTTGATATACAAATACAAAATTCTGAGTGCAGGTAAAAATATTGTAAATTGTGTAAAATTACACAGAAATAATTCATTTTTTTGGCCCGGTTAGGTGTAAAAATAAGTTTAAGCGAAGGGGTTAAATGATTATTTCCAGTAATTTAAATTGATGCACGTTTCCCCGTTGGCTGGCCCCCCTGGATAGTAATAAGTTTATTTTGTATACATCTACAAAGTGCAATAATTGCAAACGAGTCACAAAGTTCTTGACTTAGTTATGGATTTTCTTATAAAACGTAAACAGCCTAAATTTAGCACCCATACTTTTAGGATTCCTTGCTCCCAATTCATAAATTGCATTCACAAATCATAAAATGAGATGGCCACTCGTAAGTAAACAAACATGTTTTACATCATATAAAAACCGTAAATGTTTTGCAGCTTGTTGGCAGGTACTGGTACTGACCTGATCTTAGCTCTGAACCTATCTCTGGTGTCGTCATCGTCCTGTTGAGCCTCCACCCTGGTGTAGATGGCCCACGCTACATCAGCATGCTTGGCTAGCAGGTTCTCGTCTGTCGTGACACTGTGCTGCAACGCTGCCAACATTGCTACCAAACTCTGCTCTCTAGAAGCTTGGTCAAACACTACTAGATCCGACCACAGTCTTGGCAACAACTCCCACGCCTCATGCAATTCTGCCGTCTTAATTATCAGCTAGAAAACCAGGTATTGTTAGTAAAGACAATTAATTATGGTTTTAAATTATGCAACTTTTTACAGTAAAATTCCTAACCAATAAGTAGACTTCTTGGGAGTTTAACAAAAAAGCCTTAAATAAATGCCTATACTACAATTGTGTGAGCATAATAACCAAACCGTGTGTATATAATTGGATATTTTTGAGGCACCAAGTTTGTTCAGCCATTGAGACCAATCAATATTTACTTTTAAAATCCTCACCTCAGAACTTTTAAAGACGAAGAGGCAAAGCACACGGTCAGTTTTGAAGTGTGAATAGTCCTATTACCATTCTTGATTTGGTAGTATATTTTTGTTGGACCATTAATATACTACCATAATCACATCCAAATTTTGTCGTCTACCAACATCACCTACAAGCTATTTTAATTGTAACGTTAAAAAGTATGTATTTTGTATTCTGTATATTATGTGAAAAATAAACCTATTATTTCATTCATTCATTTACATTTTTTTGGTTCAGGAGTATGTTAGAAGTAAACTAAATAACATATATTCCTTTCCTATTCAATATTTGTAAACAGTTCATTGTTTATGACTAAAATTAAAGGTTTCTCAATGTATTCCTTTCTTTCTTAAATCATCAGAGCAGCCTCAAGATTAAATAAAAAGTAACCTAATTTAATTTTTAAGTAACAGAACAGATCAATTGTGAAATCTGCATTTTAATGACTGAGAGTGAACACAAACAGGTGGGTGTGAGTGACAGTGTTACTATTTTTTAGTATTCAACCAACAATCTATAGGTCGGCCGCTTAGAAAGCGTCCTCCTCGTAGCATTGGTGCGAGAGAGAGATACCGAGCTGTGGGAGTGAGACAGAATATGGCTCTTCCCCCACTCCGCTACCACCCCGCCATCACCCATTATTTTATTTTAACAAATCATATGTTTTCTTGTAATTTTCCAAAGACTTTCGAATGACAATCATTAGGAATCAGCATTGAATATATAACACTATTTAGTTTTATATATCCAATATAGCGTTGTATTCAACATTGAATGAATATACTGTAGTAGTGTTATACAATATAACACTACTACAGTTAGTTATATTGTACAGTTATATGGTACCATTTAACCGAAAAACAGTAAAGCAGTAAATACTTGATTGGCTGATTGGAGGGGTGGGGGATGTGCGTGCACACACCTTCTTTTATACGCCTAGCCATCCTGGGTCCAGAGGTATTACCATGAGTACTACGGTAATAGCTTATACCCTTTATAGGAAATTCACTAAAAGGCCGTCACTAAGATGTGTGATCGTTGCTTGCGTTGTTGGCAACGCCATTAATCACGTTATATGCGTCTTACACAATCGTGGCAACATCTCCTGCGATTATCTCAGCTTTCATGACTCTTTGTGATTGCTGCCATATCTTAATCGCGGCGAGATTCGTGATGATTGTCCCTATCGCGGCAACAGCCATTGCGGTGGGTCCTGTATTCGTGATTGTTTGCTGTGGTCATGATTTTCCACTTCTTAAAACGAGAGAGGCCATTCGGTAAGCGTCTAGTAAATCTTTGAAGTTATTAAGAAAAACCATAGTCCGAGGGGATCCTACGGGTTTAGTAGTTTAGTGCTTGGGTTTAGTGTATGTCATTTTAGTGTAATAAAATCTTGACAACTTACGCTATATGTCGTTTTGTGCTGTTTTTGTGAAATATATGTAAAAAGAATCTTGTCAATTTATTTGTAACTATTTATTTTCCACTAAGGCTACTTAAATGAGAGATTTTCAATTATATAAAACATAAGTAGGAGCTGCAAAAAAGGTTCCGTCGTGATTATCTGTATGGATAACACCATTAAACAGATTATTATTCTAACTAATCTGTAGGGATGAAAATTAACCTTAAAATTCGTGTAACTGAGCAGTCAGACATTTTCGGCAAGCCTCTTGTTTTCGGGCGGGCCTGCGAGGGACTGTTTTCCACAGCAGTACGAACTCTGTCGAATGTTCATTGTCTGGCATCCGATCTGACTTTGGTCGGCCTTTCAGCTTCCTTTTCAACGCAGAAGCCGTTGTTCTAAAGTTAGTAACCCACCGCATTGTTGTTATACGCAACGGAACTTCTCCATGTCGCCTTACGTTCCCTACCGACCGTCACACTACTCTGTTACTGAGGGATGAGTATAGTTGGTATACTAGTGTATAGTAGTGTTAATTGAAAGAACGCACGAAACTGCTTATGCTGCTGAGTTGCAATGAATGAATTCAATACTTTTTAAAAACAACTCCATAACAACCTCACGTAGCTCAGGCGACCACTGCTCTGTGACTAGAAAAAATGGCTTTGTGTAGACTTTCCAACGAGCTTACTCCCACCACTTTCAGACAACCTGTCGCTGAACAGTGCTCTGCAGAAAATGGATCGGTTTTTTGCCACACCCTGTACTTTATAACACTATGACTATATTCAATATTGAATACAACACTATATTGGATATAAAACGCTAAATAGTGTTATATATTCAATGCTAATTCGTAATGATTGTAATTCGAAAGTCTTTGGGAAACTACAAGAAAACATATGATTTGGTAAAATAAAACACGTTCAGCTAGCACGTGACGTCACTATGCACACATTTTGTGAAAACAGCAATTGGCGGAGAGGGGGAACGTACCCTCCCTCGCCGTTACCTCCCCTACATGCGCTAAAAATTTCGCGCAGGTCGTTTTCTAAACGGCCGACCTATAGTTTCAGTTTATCAGTAATGCATAGTGATGGGAGAGTTAACTATTTCACATAATAACATAGAACTAGATAACCTGTTGCTCAACATCGAGCAAAACTTAAAGCAAAACTTACTTGTAATAAAATAATGAAGAACAAAAAACATAAACAGCAAAACCTCAATCATAGAGTCACTCTAAAGTAATTTCTATGACTGATTATAGAAATGTAAAAAATATTATGATGTAAAAAATTATAAAAGTAATCTACGGTAGGTAAAATATTTAAATATAGATCCGTTCTCAAACTGCTTTGGTTATCTCTTATGTACTGTAGGAGAATGCCCTCTATGAGAACGTAGATGTCAACCACACACTGTAAAGTTAGCTTTTCAGACCTCTATCTTGACGCTAACCAGTACGACATGTATTAACTATAGCATTGTTAAATTATTTTTATGATATGTTCTGTTTTAGGCGTGTTTAAATTAGATGCCCCAACCAAAGTCTCCGGTTGGGAACATAAGAGTGGATTTAACGACGTATCTAGAACGGATTCATGTTTAACACTATTAGTTTTTGAAAATAAAAAAAAAGATTTATTTGGCCAGGTGGTGCTCTGTTTTCAGTTTTAAAATAGTTGCATCTATAAAGGTAGCATCATTGTAGCGAGGGAAGTCACTTCTTTTGTCTCTTACTATGCACATTAGAATCTTAACCTGAGAATACTCGGTAAATTAAGTAAATTAACTTAAGTTTTTGCAACAGTTTTCAAAGATTGGGCAAATGGGTTGGCATTGTGACCCTATTTCCCGCATATATGTGTTCATTGCATTTTAGTTTGAATTGTTGTACAGTGTCGTACTTATAGATCTGTGCGTATCCAGGATCATGACCTTCTTGAGGAGTTAGATTACCTACTCGGAGGTAAAACGTGTGATGGATCTTGAAATTGTAGATACCCTGGGTGACTCTCTCCTCAAAATGAGCTTCAGAGATGACCATGACAAAGGCAGAATTGAATTGACAAATTTTATCCAGATAATTTCTGGATTCAAGCCTCACAGCCTTGTTTTCAGATTGGGAGTTTCCAATAAGTTCCCGAAGGTATGGTGAATTCCGCAAATGATGTAAACGGACCTTTCATTTATGGCAACAAAGAGTAAAAATTTAACTGTCTCGGCCAGTCTTTTCTTGCTCAAAATGTAAGTCACCACAATGTAAAAATGTAACGTTCATTTGTCCGAGATTGTATTTATCACTACGGCAGTACTGCCACTCTGTAGTCTGTATCCGTCAAATTGGGAGGTTCGATGCAAGCGGTCTCATTTACATTCCCATTCTCTCCAGCCACTCACAGTTCTTCGTTTTACTGGTGGCATTTAATTTTAAATCTATCTATCTATATATTAATAGGCAAGCATGTTTCTTTAAAACCTTTTTTCTCAGCTCGTGTGCATCGTAGGGAAAATCTACGCATACTGTTAGAAAGCTATTTTCCTGTAGGTGTGCAGAATCCCTTTATAAATTAAAATAGGCTCAAAAATAAGCACAAAATATGAATTTAAAATTTTGAAAAATTTAACATGGATATTATGAGTTGCCATGCTGGTGACGAAATAACAACGAAATATAAACAGAAAATCAAAACAAATGGAAGAAACTCCAATCACATGTTCTATTCAAAGTGTGGAATGAAAATAAAGAAGTCTGTACATTAAATATTTTTGGTCGAGTTTCGACCACTGGACGACCTCTAGTACTTATTTAATACGCAAGCAGGATTTTTGTGACAATTACTCCTCTGAAACTACTGAACCGATTGACATGTTTTTGGTGTCATTGGAAAGAGCGTAACGTGAAGATGTGCAGGAAACTTTCTTTTTAGGGAAATAATTAGAGAGTGAGGCCATGGGGCCCTTTAAAGTTTCGTATTTCTCCATAAGATTAACATGGGAAACAAACATTGTTTTGAAACTTCAGCTGTTGTCAGAAATTAAATATTAAAAATCGGTCTCCATGGAAATGGAAGCATGAGAAAATTCACAATGTTTACATTTGCTTTGACATTTAAATGTAAACAACCAGAACTGTTAAATGCCTATTTTACAATTTCAGACAGCTGACCCAAAAAAATTAAACAACTATGTGGTAGGTTTATTTAATCTTAAACTTTATGATAGATTATTTATTATAAATCTATTTCAATGATTTTGAAACAGATTTTTCCGTTGCGGACCAAAATATAAAGAGAGAAGAAGAACATATGTTAATTGTAAACAGTCAATGTGCAAATTGTCTAATATGTTGTATTAAAAATGGGTATAGTTTTGGATGTTGGTTTGTGTTTAATGATATAAGTTATTAATTATTGAATTTTTATTTTAATGATTTGGCATATGAGTATGCTTATGATAAATAACACCATTTCAGAGTTCTGCCAGTTTTTGCCTAACTCTGTTCAGTAGAGTTTAAAGTAGCCTACACCTTATTGTCTACAATTTGGCTAAATAACTTAGGTACGATACATTATAAAAGCTGACAGCCTTTTTACGTTGACTTAAATTGTAAGCTTACCATTTACCATGGGCAGTTTGATTGTAAAAAATTACCCCTTTAAACTGGAATAGGACTGTTATGTAAATTGTGAGTATTTCCATCAGTTAATAAGCTTTTAGTCGACTCTAAAATAATCGGAAATTATGACTGTTATTAGTTTTTAAACAAGTAGTTTGTTTATAGATAACTCCTGTACTTCTTTGCAATTGCTCGATTTCGAGCAACATGTACACTAGTTTAGATAAAATACGAAAGTCCCAACCAGTTGAACCAATCAACAGAAAACACTAAAAAGGAATTTTTATACACTGCAGTCTGTGGTTAAACTTAAAAAATATTTCAAACTACGTCCATATGTTTAGTTGTAAACAAAAGTAATTGAGTTTGATGGTTTGATCTAAAGTCAACAGATAGCGCCACCATTCCCAAACTTTAGCCCTTAACTGTACTTAAGTGATGCCATTTCTTAATATTCTGAGACATATTTGCACATCTATGTGAAAACACCTTTAATTTGACACCTCAAACGTTAAAATCCGTCAAGCCGTTATCGAGTTATGACTGTGAAAAGAAAACCGCTTGCGTATTAATATATAGATTTCAGAGACATTCCAAGGACAAGGTTGTTTTCTCTATGATATATTTTATGCCTTTGCACATTTTAAGTGTAAAAAAAAGAGTTAGAACACTTTTGAGAGCGCAATTTGTGCGTGTTAGAATACTTAGATACATACTGTCATTTTGCACAGACTTTGGTCCAGTAAAGCAGCAAAATACTATAGCCTGTTTTAGACGGAAGAATATTTCTTGAATCTGTTGATATATTAAATATTCCAACTCTAGTCGGCTCTTGGGTTTATCAAACCTTTTCAGTTAAACAACATAGACCCTGTTTGATTAGGGTTAGTTAAGAGGAGGTCTGGTCTACAAGAAATCAAAAATTAATATAGCTGTGGGATTATTGTTAGTATAGCGCCTCGTTTTCCTAGTCACAAACGGATGAGAAGCTCTTTAAAGAAGGAGTGGGGGGCGTGACTTCACTCATCTCTTGAGGGAACACCATTACCGTAACGAGACGATATGATTTCATCGGCGTTCGTGGCATAGTTGATAGTGTCTCGGACTGGTATTCTGGAGGTCTCCAGTTCCAATCCCGCTGGGGTCACTAACTTTTTGTCAAAGATTTTGCTTAGAATGCAAATACTTCTTAACTGTTAACATTTTTTGTTAGAATTTGAGGCATTTATAATTTTATTTATGAACAGAACTATTTTTTTAAATTATTAAACCTTCATTACATTTTGATTATCTTAAATCTTATCTTATCTTACTAATATTATAAATGTGAAAGTTTGTGTGTTTGTTGGTTTGTTTGTTTGAAGTTCAATCACGCATTAACAACTGGACAGATTGGGCTGAAATTTGGCATGATGATAGCTCACATTCCCGATTAACATATAGACATATTCTTATCTCAAAAATCCTTTTGGGCTCCGTCCCAGTGGCTCTGTAGTTCCCCATGTTAACCTTATGAGTATTCATATTTAAAGGGAATTAAAGAAATCAGCTGTTTTAACTAAAAAAAGTTGGTTCTATGATTTTTATGCAAAAGCAAAAGTTATAAGATTTACCAACAGGGTGCAGCACTATTATTTTTTTTTTCATCTATATATATAAAAGGCAAAGCCCTCACTGACTCACTGACTCACTCATCACTAATTCTCCCACTTCCCATTTACCTAGGAAGCTGAAATTTGGTACACTGATTCTTTAGGCATTAAATAGGAAAACTAAGCTATTTTTATTCTGATCGGACTCTCGGGCTCCGCCCCAGTGGCTCTGGAGTTTCCCATGTTAACCTTATGAGTACTCATATTTAAATGGAATTAATGAATCTTAACAGCTGTTTCAATTAAACAAGTTGGTTCTGTTCTATGATGTGCAATTAGCATTTAAGTTACAAGGATTACCAACAGGGTGCAGCACACTATTATTTTTTTTAAATTTATGACTACAGACATCTAATTTGCAACCAAAAGGTGAGTGAGCGTAGCGAACGAACTTCAACCTAAAGGCGAGTTAGCGTAGTAAACGAGCTAACCTGAAGACAAGTGAGCGCAGCGAACGAGCTCCAACCTAAAGGTGAGTGAGCGTAGCGAACGAACTTCAACCAGGACGTGATTGAGCCATGCGAATGAGCTCACTTATGAAGTAAAACGGGGCAAAGCCCGCGGGTACAGCTAGTCTAAATATATAAAAGGCAAAGCCCTCACTGACTGACTGACTGACTGACTCACTCACTCACTCACTCATCACTAATTCTCCCACTTCCCATTTACCTAGAGGCCTGAAATTCGGTACACCGATTCTTTGGGCATTAAATAGGAAAACTAAGTAGTTTTTATTCTGATCGGGCTTTCGGGCTCCGCCCCAGTGGCTCTGGAGTTTCCCATGTTAACCTTATGATTTTTCATATTTAAAAGGAATTAATGAATCTTAACAGCTGTTGCAATTAAACAAGTTGGTTCTGTTCTATGATGTACAATAGCATTAAAGTTACAAGGATTACCAACAGGGTGCAGCACTATTATTATTTTTTTAAATTTATGACAACGGCTAATTTGCAACCAAAAGGTGAGTGAGCGTAGCGAACGAACTTCAACCTGGAGGCGAGTTAGCGTAGCGAACGAGCTAACCTTAAGGCAAGTGAGCGCAGCGAACGACCTCCTACCAAAAAGGTGAGTGAGCGTAGCGAACAAACTTCAACCACGTGACGTGATTGAGCCATGCAAATACTTATGAAGTTAAACGGGGCAAAGCCCGTGGGTACAGCTAGTCTATATATAAAGCCAAAAGTACCCATGGACTTTTGAGAAAACTACAAGTCACACCCCCCATAAACCATATACTTAAAATGTTCGTCATGACGAGAAACCTTGCGCAAAACTATCCATTATGTCATAAATTGCCCTTTAAGGTCGTAATTCCTTTCTAAAGGGAACTTTTCATATAGGCCTACCTAATGTTAAAAATGCCTAAGCTGTACTTATTTGTTTGTTATTCTTTCGATTTATAACCTTATTAAAATCAGGTGTGATTATTTGTTTCTTTTACTGTATTTTGTTTATTTCAGGTTAACTTAACCAATCAATAGTTTTATTAATACTTATGATGTCAAACGGAGTGAAGCCCGTGGGTAACAGCTAGTTTATGAGAACAGCTAATTTGAACTAAGCAGCAACAAAAAACTGTGATACGCAATGAGAACTGTCAAAGTAGTATTGTTTACAGTTATGTTTATGTTTTTAATTTCATGAATGATTTGTGATATTTTGAGATTTTTTTATAATTAATTTTTCTATATTGTTTAAGTAAAGTGGTAGAACATTATGGCTACGGTAGATGTGTAATACTATAGTATACCGTAAATTTAAAGAACCAAATTTTATCAAACTGTGTCCTCCCCCATTGCAAACGCAAAGCTTGAGTACACTGCAATAAGCATTTTATACTTATAGGCCAACCCCGTACGAAGGAAGGGCACTTTGCTAGTCTTTTTATATTATCAGCAAGTTTGGTTGGTTAGGTTAGGTTATGACAGTAAAATTTTATAATAAAAAATTGTTTAATTAATGTTATAATTAAATACCCCCACCGCAGCAAACCTGCCGACTAAGCGAATTACCATTTGTCTGAATTGATTTTCTATCAAATCTATTTAAATAACATAAGGTTTTACGATTACCTAGGTTTGCTGCTACAAGGAAACTAATAAAGTGTGTTTTTTAGTAAAATATTAATAGCTTTGTATAAAATAAATGAACTTGTCAAGTTTGATGAAAATATATCCATAAACAAGCAAACTACAACATTTTCCAATATTCTCTATAAGAATAACATGGGAATTTTAAATTTAAAACTTTTTTTTTAATTTTCTTTGTTACCAATAACTGTACAAAACTTCTGATATATACTAAATTATTTGTTTTTTAAGCTCTTTAAAAAGGTTTAGAGAGAAATTGGAAAATTTTGGGGTTTGAGGGTTTAAAATGAGAAAAACCATTTTTTACCCCGTCAAACCCCGTTCCCATGGTCCGATCATGCTCGTTCGTGAACACATTCAAGTTTATCCCGCCTTACAACTTTAAACCAAATTTCATCAAAATCGGACAAAAATGACTCAAGTTATTGAGTTCACGGACGTATATATATATATACATATATATGAGAACTATTTGAACAAATGTTGTTTTTGGCCTTGGGGGACATCAAAATGAAAAAGTAAATCAGTCCTGGGCCTAGGTCTTACCGTGCCACCTACGGTAATAGCTACTTCCCTATAGGGAAATTCGCTAAAAGTTAATTTTATGACTAAAAAATTATAAAATAGTTTTAAAGTTTTTCTTAAATCTACGTGAGGGGCTCTCCCACAATCCTCCACTCCTTCGTAGAAAAGGTTCTCATCAGTTCCGGATGAGGAAAATGAGACGCTAGTTTATTGTTATCAGCTGATATGTCAAGTTATGAATCATCTGCTATTTGGTTTGTTTATGTTTACATTATTATTGTTTTGTAAATAAATAGGATTTATTGAGTTTACTTAAAGTGTGTTTTAATAATAATAATTAATTATTCTATAATAGCTGAAAAAGTACTTACTTCCATTATGCCAGGTTCAGGAACATATACGTGTGGCACCAACTTATCATAGAGCTTCATTAATTCAGATATTGAGCCTGACTGGCACACCAGAGCAAAATAGTTTCGACTGTAACAAATTAAATACATTTATGAGAACAACCAACATATTTTTCTACAAATATTATTCTGATTGGACAAATAGCATAAAAAAAATCTTCATAATTAAAACCCACACACCACACAACCACCACACGCCAGTCATAGACTTGACTGAAATTACTTCAATTTGTATCTTTGATTGTACTGCTGTTGCAATTTGTATTACCTGACTGAAAGAAGGGTTGAAATAATGTAAAGGAAAATAAATGTGTCCAAATGATTTCCTTCAACTAATGGCATTAAGACAATCTTAACTGCAATCAAAGTTAAGTAATAAGTTTCCAAAAACATTTCACAATCAAATTTTCCTTGGAATATCTCGTTTACTAAACCAAAATTATTTGAGTTCTTCAAAGAATGTTACAAAAACAGTAGTCCCTAGGTGATTCAAATTAATTATTTTTAATTCCATCAACAACAGTTATCAAATCTTAACCGTGAAATATAACAAATAGAAACTTACTAATAAATAGATTCCTTGAAGCTGTCGCCAATGAGGTTGTAGTTGTCCCCAGTATGAAGAAGTTTATCAAGTCTGTATGCTGCTTCTACATCATTTAAATGATAACGACAATTGTCCATTGCCTCAGTAAAGAAGAAAATATCCCGTGGGTCTCTAATTGTCAAGGATTTTCCTTCCAATATGTCCAAAATGTTGATAAGAACGGAACTGCGTATGCTGCTTCCTAAAGAATATCAGAATGACTAATTATTTGAATGGAACATTAAAGTTGTTACTAAACTGTTGTTTCTTTGACCACATTAAACTTCATGTTGCAAGTCAAATACTAAAAATTACAACCATTAATTACATCTAAACTGACTTTATAGGAGGTTTGAGGGTTTTAAGCCTAATCATAGCATAATTATTCACACATTGTAACTGAATCACTGTAGCAAGACTGAACTAGCGTGACGTTGCAACATCACCCCAATTTTCACTAATTTTCAACACTAATAAAAATATATTAACTAGTATTTTAAAATCAGCGGGTATTTAGATTTGGCAACAACGCGCGGTCCTCATTGGCTCCTTCGAAGTCACGTGGTAAATAGGCTCCTCCCTCAACTGCAGACTCTTGTTGACCGTACTGTAGGTGACTTAATTTTATTTGAATTGAAACTAAACACAACTTTTTATCTGTTAAAACCTGTTTACGCATGTTAAATAGGTATTTAGGTACTAATCTATGGTATCTCCAGGCGTTTTTTTTTTCAATTTTTTGAAATGTTGGTTTTTAAATGTGATTTCCTCATAAAAACATATAAAATAACAGAAAACCGGATTTTTCCAAAATTGGCCCAAAACAATTTTGAAAAAATGTTAATATGTTGTAGCCCTTTAAACTCTGGACAAAATGGTAGAATCCCAATCCTGTAAAAATCACTGTTCAAAAGTTGTTGTAAATTATGTTATTTTCCCATAAAACCCCCCATAAAATAAGAGAAGATTTTACCTATTAAATATCATAGTTAGTTACTCTCATCGCTTACCCATGATAAAGGTTATTGACAAGCTAATGGGAGAAAGTATGCGTCAGATTGCCGATTCTGTTTATTTAATGCTTATACTCATGTTAAATAGGTAGTTTTTTTTATTTTGTACTGTTTAAGAAGTATAAAAACTAAAGGAAAAGACAAAAGTCACTCAAGTTGATGTTGTGGCTTTGATCTCACCCCTCGCAGCCGGTGAACTTACAAAATGTAGGTATTCGTTTTTCTTTTTTAAATACCGGTCGGTATATGTATATTTTTTTGTATCTGTGTTTGTGTTGTGTGATATGTATGTAGAACTGAACTGAGACTGAAGGTATTTAAACCATATTAGTTCCTAACCAGTTCAGGAGCAATTCCACATCACATTATTTCAAAATGTTTCCTATAACCTTTTTTTTTTTATTGGTTTGGCAATATGCTAATTAGTTTATAACAATGGATTGAAATATTCAATTTTGCCCCCATTTTACATAAGGGCAACAACATTTTTTTTCTAAAAAAATGTAGTAAATTTAGTCGACATTGGCACTTAAACCATTTTCACATGAAACACGTATCAAGTCAGGATTCGGATTTGACATTAGGATGAGAAGTCTGAGGATAAAACGGCATGTTTATAATAGCAATAACCTATTTCAGATAAATATTAATTTGACAACTAATTGTTAGTTATTCAAATAGTTTTAATTCACATTTAGATGATCAACATTATTTGTTATGTTCATGAAAACCTTTAGTTGAAATCAGCGCACTCAAACATTTCAAATATGAACCATACTTCCAAACCTGTAACTATTTTCAGTCAATGGTAAAACAATGTGTTTGTAATAAAGTCAAAGTATTTTTTATTTCCAAATTTTTACAAATTTGATTGAAATATAAAACAATTTCTTAGCAGGTATCTTAAAAATACAAACTGACCTTTTGATGATAAGAAACATACTTAGACACATACTAAATTGCACACTAAAACACAATGAAAATTTAAATCTTACCTACAACTTAATCTATATAGAAATGAAATACTAACGTGCTAGGATAGCCCAAATGTAATAGTTCAATCATAGCTTTGGATAAACATAGACTTGACAGCTTGCTAGTAGTTTAAACAAAGCTGTATTAATTTGATCAGTGGTAGTTTCCAAATGCCATGTAATACCTTCTGTGTATTCTTTGATCAATATCTTCACCCAAATTGGTTTCTTCGTACTTTATTTTAGATTGTGTGTAGGTTTCTTTATGCAAACATATGCTATAATCGTTTATTTACGTTGTTATTTTGTAACTAATATGGCAACCTGTAAGCCGAATGCTAATCAGATAAATCTGGAAACGGCTTAATATCTTTTCAACTAAATCCGTTAGAAAATTCAAACCTTTCACATTAACTTACATGTATGAAAACTACTTTTTGCAAGCATTATCATTTTTTAACCTCTACCAGGGGCAACCCATGAGGAGTAGGTACATAATCTTCAAAGTAAGCATAGGTTGATATGCACATCATTTTTAAGGTCTGGTTAAGTGGAGTTCATTGCCGGAAACCACGGTAAAAAAGGTTCATCCGTTACAAAATGGCAGCAGTCCAAAGTTCTTGCGGAATATACCTGCACAGGGTATTGGTAAATAATCATAGTCAACATTAGCTGGGAAATCTGAAACCCGGTTAAATTTGTTTTGAAGATTGAATAAACTTAGTCTATGAGCTAGTTGACTTTAAAATACAATTTCAGCTCTCAAGCTAATGTTTAATACGAGTATTTATTTATCAATATTAAGGCCTGTGCAGGTATATTCCACAAGAACTTTGAACAGCCGCCATTTTGTAACGGATGAACCTTTTGATACGCGGTTTCCGGCAATGAACTCCACTTGACTAACCCTTTAAAATGATGTGCATATCAAGTAACCTATGCTTACCTACTCCTCATGGGTCGTCCCCTGGTAGAGGTCAAAAAATGATAATGCTTGCAAAAAGAAGTTTTCATACATGTAAGTTAATGTGAAAGGTTTGAATTTTCTAACGTATTTAGTTAAAAAGATATTAAGCCGTTTCCAGACTTTTTTGTCACCCTGTATATTGAACCATATAGCCTACTTGAATTGTTTCTTATAGAATTAAGAATATGATAATGGCAAATGAATAAAGATTTAGAACAGTATCTAATTTAAAACAGTAAATTTGTTGTTAACGATGGCGTCATTCCAGTGCGACAACATAGACTACTTCTCGGAAAGAAATAACAACATTAATATAAGAAAAACATGCAATTTAGCTCAATGGAAAAGGCAGACAAGCTAAAAATTATGAAACAAAACAGCTAACTAAGGTAATTTTTTTTTTTTTTTTAATTAAAAAGTAAAACTTTACTGCATAAACTGCATGAACAATGAAATTGTTATGTAAATTTTAAGGTATACAAAGTGTTTGTAATTTATTTCTTCATATACAAATCTAAAAACATCATGAATACAATTTATTTTGAAGAGCTGTGACAAGAAATAAAAAAATGGCAAATTCCATGGTTTTGCGGTATAAAGTTTTACACAAAACCAACTAAATGGACTCTCAAGAAATCAAAGAAAATTTCACATTTTAGTTAGGGCAATGAAATTTAAAATTAAATAAATTAAGTGTTATTGGTATAAAATTACTAATCATCATTTTAGATTACCACCCCTATTTTAAATGTTTTCTAATCCAGAGGTAGCTGCTACCTCTATCATTAACTGTAGATACTTCGTGTAGATTTCACATTCTATTGTAATAATGAACATTTTTTGATGAGCGTTTTGTGGTCATTACATGTATCAATATTTTCAACGAGCTTCCTCTAAGCTTAACTTGTGCTTGACATAAAAATTACAAATATTTAAATTTAAAAAAACTAAGTTGTATGCAACAATTAAAATACCCCCGCCGCAGCAAACCTGCCGTCTAAGCGAATTTCCATTTGCCTGAATTGATTTTCAATTAATCTATTTATAACATTACGTTTAACGATTACCTAGGTTTGCTGCTACAAGGAAACTAAAAAAGTGTGTTTTTAAGTAAAATAATTATAGCTTGGTATAAATTCAATAAATTTGCCAAGTTTGATCAAAATATATCCATAAACTAGCAAACTACAACATTTTACAATATTCTCCATAAGAATAACATGGGAATGGCTTAAGTGTGTAACTGTTTTTCAACACCTCGAACGAAGGACAGGTTTTCTGCTAGTAGGAAATAAATCTGATAATTTTAAGGGAATATTCTAGTGGAAATCTAGCCACGTAAATGGTAATTCGCTGAGTCTGCAGGTTTTGCTGGGGCAGATATTTTATTTATATTTTTTATGTTTCTTTTAACTTTGATGTAATATTGGTTCATTGTATGTATAGTATAATGGTGTACAAGTTACTTAAGTTGTCTTGATTGCTGACCAGGTAACCCAGCCGCAACAGACGGTCATTGTGACCATTGCTGTACTAGTTCTGAGCAATAATAATGTGTATTTGTTTATTTGGTTAGTAAACAATTAATAAAACAGCACTTTTTCATTCCATTTCATTTTCTATGATTTGATTACCGAGGATGAAAACTATGATATATCTCTAAATTTTAAAATCAATATCATGCCTGGAAGGTTCATGTAGGAATACTCAAAAGACGAATTTAAATCAGCGATAGAGTTTTTTCTCAAACTATACATACATACGAACGAGAATTATATTGTCAATTGTCAAATAAATCCTCCTCAGTATTTATTTTTACAATTTAGTTACCTACTTTTAGCGAATTTCCCTATAGGGAAGTAGCTATTACCGTAGGTCTCATGGTAAGACCTAGGCCTGGGACCGATTTACTTTTTCATTTTGATGTCCCCAGAGGCCAAAAACACCATTCGTTCAAATTCTTATATCTAATATATAAAATTCTCGTGTCACAGTGTTTGTCTGCAAACTCCTCCGGAACGACTTCACCGATCGTTATGAAATTTGGTGTGTAAATTCTGTAGGTATGCGAATCGGACGTAAACTATTTTCCGTTTCGAAATTCTTAAAAGGGCTCCGCCCCAGTGGCTCTGGAGTTTCCCATGTTAACCTTATGAGAAATGGAATTAATGAATCTTAACAGCTGTTTCAATTAAACAAGTTGGTTCTGTTCTATGATGTTCAATAGCATTAAAGTTACAAGGATTACCAACAGGGTGCAGCAAAACTCTTTTACATTTATGACAACAGCTAATTTGCAACCAAAAGGTGAGTGAGCGTAGCGAACAAACTTCAACCTGGAGGCGAGTGAGCGTAGCGAACGAGCTAACCTGAAGGCAAGTGAGCGCAGCGAACGAGCTCCAACCTAAAGGTGAGTGAGCGTAGCGAACGAGCTCCAACCCAAAGGTGAGTGAGCGTAGCGAACGAACTTCAACCAGGACGTGATTGAGCGATGCGAACGAGATCATCTTGAAAATTAAACGTACGGTACTTTCTTTCCATCGGTCTGTCTTAGGGGAAACCTATAACTTAGGCGATACGAAGTTCGCCGGGTCAGCTAGTATCTATATATAGATATATATATATGTGTCCATCCGCACGATAACTTGAGTAATTTTTGTCCGATTTTGATAAAATTTGGTTTGAAGGTGTAAGGCGGGATAAACTTAAATGAGTTCGCGAACCAGCATGATCGGACTAAGGGAACGGGGGTTTATGGGGGGTTTTATGGGGTAAAAATAGGTTTTTCCCATTTTTGACCCTAAAAACACAAAATTTCACAATTTCTATTTAAACCATTTTGTAGAGCTTAAAAAAACAAATAATTTAGTATATTGAAGCGTTATTATGCGCCTAATTGTTACGGAGAAAATTCAAAAAAATTGTAATTTTAAAATTCCCATGTTATTCTTATGGAGAATAGTCAACTGTTGTAGTTTGCTTGTTTATGAACATATTTTGATCAAATTTGGAAAATACATTAATTTCTTACTAAACCACAGTACCTTTTAACATTTTACATAAAAAAAACTTCGTTACCCTCCCTGTTGCAGCAAACCTAAGTACTCATTAAACTAATTCTGTTTAAATAGGGAATAAATGTGATATTTTTAAGGAGACATTTTAGTTTAAATCCAATCAGGCAAATGGAAATTCGCTAAGTCTGCAGGTTTGCTGCGGCGGGGGTATTTAAAGTAACAATTTTTAACTCACCTTTGCAGAAAATAATCAACAAGTAATAGTAAGAAGTCAAAGATGGATCAATGCCTAGGTTCCTAAATTCTGTCATTAATGCCAAGGCATTTTTCTGAGCATTTTTATGCACATTCATTGAACTAAGAACTTCAAGGGCAGCATTTAATGTTCCCAAGTCAGGAAATAATCCTTGCTGTCTGATTTGCCCCAACATGTCCTAAAACAATTACATCAGGCTTTGCTAAAATATTAAAATAAAAAAGCATGTAGAATGTGCGTTGGAATAGTATCACTTGTTTTAAAGAGCTGTAGGCAAATAATCTACATCAGTTTTGTCGCATTTACATGAGGACAATAGGAGGTCAGATTACTTGTCTCAGTTTTATGTTACAATTACATGAGGCCAAAAGGAGGGTAGGTACTTGTCACAGTAATGTCGCATTTACATGAGGCCAATAGGAGGGCAGGTTACTTGTCTCAATTATGTAACATTTACAAGAGGCTAGTAGGAGGGTAGGTACTTGTCTCAGTTATGTAACACTTACATGAGGCCAATAGGAGGGTAGGTACTTGTCTCAGTTATGTAACATTTACATGAGGCCAATAGGAGGGCAGATTTCTTGTCTCAGTTATGTAACATTTACAAGAGGCCAGTAGGAGGGTAGGTACTTGTCTCAGTTATGTCACATTTACAAGAGGCCAGTAGGAGGGTAGGTACTTGTCTCAGTTATGTAACACTTACATGAGGCCAATAGGAGGGCAGATTTCTTGTCTCAGTTATGTAACATTTACAAGAGGCCAATAGGAGGGCAGGTTACTTGTCTCAATTATGTAACATTTACAAGAGGCCAGTAGGAGGGTAGGTACTTGTCTCAATTATGTAACATTTACATGAGGCCAATAGGAGGGCAGATTTCTTGTCTCAGTTATGTAACATTTACAAGAGGCCAATAGGAGGGCAGGTTACTTGTCTCAATTATGTAACATTTACAAGAGGCCAGTAGGAGGGTAGGTACTTGTCTCAATTATGTAACATTTACTTGAGGCCAATAGGAGGGCAGGTTACTTGTCTCAATTATGTAACATTTACAAGAGGCCAGTAGGAGGGTAGGTACTTGTCTCAGTTATGTCACATTTACATGAAGCCAGTAGTAGGGCAGATTACTTGTCTCAGTTATGTCACATTTACAAGAGGCCAGTAGGAGGGTAGGTACTTGTCTCAGTTATGTCACATTTACATTAGGCCAATAGGAGGGTAGGTACTTGTCTCAGTTAAGTCACATTTACACGTACCCAGTAGAAGGGCAGAATACTTGTCACAGTTATGTTGCATTTACACCTAGCCAGTAGCAGGGTAGGTACTTGTCAAAGTTATGTTGCATTTACACGTAGACAGTAGGAGGGTAGGTACTTGTCACAGTTATATCGCATTTACACGTAGACAGTAGGAGGGTAGGTACTTGCCACAGTTATGTCGCATTTACACATAGCTAGTAGAAGGGTAGGTACTTGTCACAGTTTTGTCGCATTTACACGAAGCCAGTAGGAGGGCAGATTACTTGTCTCAGTTATGTCATATTTACATGAGGCCAATAGGAGGGTAGGTACTTGTCACAGTTATGTCACATTTACACCTAGCCAGTAGCAGGGTAGGTACTTGTCACAGTTATGTCAAATTTACATGTAGCCAGTAGAAGGGTAGGTACTTGTCACAGTTATGTTGCATTTACACCTAGCCAGTAGCAGGGTAGGTACTTGTCACAGTTATGTTGCATTTACATGTAGCCAGTAGAAGGGTAGGTGCTTGTCACAGTTATGTCACATTTATACGTAGCCAGTAGGGGAGCGGGATACTTGTCTCAGTTATGTCACATTTACACCTAGCCAGTAGAAGGGTAGGTACTTGTCACAGTTATGTGGCATTTACACGTAGCCAGTAGGGGAGGGGGATACTTGTCTCAGTTATGTCGCATTTACATGAAGCCATTAGGTAGGCAGGTTGTTTGTCTCAGTTTTGCATTGTTTATATGAGGCCAGTAGACAGGCAGGTTACCTACTGGCCTCGTGTAAACGCGGCTTTAGTGTATTTCCAGATGCCTGAGGCAGGTAACTTGATACCTTATGGCCTTATATAAATGTTGCCTTACAGCCAACGGTAAATCTACAATGAAACCTCACATTTGAGCACAGAATAGAGCAAAGTCAAGGCCTGGGGTCCCAACTTGCAAGTCTAGGTTATTACTGTTATTGCGTGGCTGAATTTTAATTAAAATAGAAAAATAGGTTTTAGCTAGGGATACAACTGGAGATAGCCATAGCAGTTGGCCACCATTTGTAGTACAGGGGTAACGTACATTGAAGACATTGTACTTCGTACATTGGAACTAGGGTCTGGCTTTTGGAGATAGGGTATTGTGGGATTGTAATAAAGCCATGAGCCAATGAGGTTGTTGATTCTTCTGGTTGGGACTAACACAACCTAATTTTAACGGTGTCAATTTTCTAGTAAAGTTGCCATGCCAGTGCTACCTCCAGTTGTATTCTAGCTCAGTGGTTAGAACCGTTCACGAACAAGTTTAAAATGTGTTTACAAATCCCACATTTAACTCAAGAGTTGAATTATTATATATCCTCACTGACTTCACATTTTGAATGTTTGCACTCAACCTCTACCTTACAATACCATACTACCTTGCCCTAGCATTACCTCTACAAACTGCCAACGCAGGTCGTAGCCCTCCTTGAGTGTGGGAGCTGCAGTGATGAGTTTGTTGTACACATGAAGGGGCAACATCATTCCCTGGTCTAAGGCCTCCTGGAAGTGTTTGTAGGCCCCGGCCATGTTGCCTGCCTGTACCATGCCACATATCAGAGCAGAGTAGGCTGCTGCGTCTGGCGGGGAAAGGCTTTCGAACAACATCTCAGCCACTCCTTTGGTTCTAATTCATACAAATAATAACAGAGACAATAATTACAGTAAGTAAAAGAATATGGAATAATTATTAATATGTTTCAATATAGAAAAGAAATCAGAAAAGAATCATCCGAATTATGACTAATTCCCACCCCAGAAGTTCTTGTGAATCACATTTAAAAAATTTAAAAATCCAAAAACTCACAAGGACTGTACATAAATGAATTATTACATACACAATATAAAAAATTACTTCCTGGATTCATTCAAATTCACACACAAGTATAGTATACAAGAGATGAAACAATTTTTAGATTGCCAAATCACCGTTTGGCCTTATTTGGAAAAAGTCCTTTGTTTAAAAATGTATAATAAATTACTGGTAGGGGAAAAAATTAGTTCAAACAAGTTTCAAGAAACATTAAAAAATGAACTCCTTGAACGTGTGTTTTATAAAATAGAAGATAACCATCCCTTGAGTTAATTTTTTGTTTTTCATTTTCTTAAACTATTTACATTATTTGGCTAGGGTTTTTTTCTATTATTTTGTACTTAGCATTTTTCTAGTCAGGGCTCAATTTTGACAATGCACCTGTTCCATATGTTATCACATCTAAAAGAATTTTATGTGCAAATAAATAATGTCTAGTGGCTAATGTCTAATATATTTGTTATTAAAACACAATATGTAAAAAAATTTCAAAGATCTTTGGATGCCTCCAATATAAAACATCAGGTTATTAACTAGCATGCTCGAAAACATCTTAGGTATACCCAACTCTTGAACCCTGATTAAATTAAAAGGTATTGGTAGAAGGTAGAGGGTACCTATTCTCTATTCATTTATACTCACTTCCAAGAATTAATTTTCTTATCTCTTCCCCTTGTGTCCTGCTTGAACCATCTTTCTTCAATCCAGTCTTCTTCAAGGGGATCCTCTTCATTGTAGTAACAAACTAATTCTAACAAACTCTGCAATGTATCTCTTGATATCTCTGTTAAAAAAAACACTTGTGATAGTAATATAACAATCTGTTTATAATATGCAGTAAAGTACAAATAAATCAATATTTCAATGAGTCCTCATGTATAGCCTAAGCAACTGTTTGATGTTTAAAAATAACATTACAATTTCTTTTAAAAAGGAAAAGAAGCTCAGGTCATCGAATAAAAGAATGGCCTGAAGCAATGATCCACGTATTTGATAAAACTGGAGTTTATCAAATCAATTGTAAAGATTGCACAAAATATTCCATCAGCCAAACGTAAAAAAAAAACATCTGCATAAAAAACTACAGCCAAGCAAACATCGTCCTTTGTGGAAAATTTAATTTCTATAGGCTATAACTATGCAAACATTAAGTTAAATATACTAGGCCTAAGTGGTAGAATGTTAGCAACATATGTTAAAGTTTACAAATAGTAGTGCAGATTGAATGTCCTGTATGTTTTTTACTCACCTATTCCCTTCTCTTTTAATAAGCCATGAACAGTCAGTGAATCAGATACCAAATGTTGCTCGATCAATTTCTTTAGAACATTTTCATCTACTTGCGAGTTTTCGTCATAAATTGCCTTGGGAAAATAAGGCTGAAAAATAAAGCATTTATGTAATAACAATACATAAACATAATCTACAGTTTAAAAAATCTTTGTTCAGCTAAATCAAGAGTTCTACTGACCGATTTTATTAATGGGTCGTTGGAAAGCTTAATTTCGTGTAGATTTGCAAATAATTATGAAAGTTTGTTTTTGTTATGCTTTGTGGTAAAAAATTGAAAAAACATGTTTTCCATAAGAAATGCATTGAAAACGGTGTTTTTCATTGTACCTGATAACTTGAGTAATAACTTGAACAGAAATTATACGATTTTGATTAAATTTGGTATAGGCCTAAACGTGTAATCCTACATTTATTCGAACTAGTTTGCGAACCAGCATGATTCGCATGGTTTCGCATGGGAACGAGGGTATATGGGGGGTTTTGTGGGGTAAAAATTGGTTTTTCCCATTTTTGACCCAAAAAACATAAAATTTAGCAATTCATTTCCAAACCATTTTGTAGAGTTTAAAAAACAAATAATTTAGTAGGCCTATATTGAAGCTTTATTATGCACCTAATGGTTACGGAGAAAATTCCAAAAATTTTAAATTTAAAATTCCCATGCTATTTTTATGGAGAATAAGTAAACTGTTGTAGTTGCTTGTTCTTGAACATATTGTGATCAAATTTGGAAAGTGCATTTATTTCATACTAAACTATTAACATTTTACAAAAAACTTTGTTTACCCTCCCTGTTGCAGCAAACCTAAGTACTCGTTAAACTAATCCTATTTAAATAGGAAATAAATGTGATATTTTTTATGAGACATTTTAGTGTAAATCCAATCAGACAAATGGAAATTCGCTTAGTCTGCAGGTTTACTGCATCGGGGTTATTTTCTTCAATGGTGGTTTTAAATTTATTATTTTTGTATAGGGCAATTCCCCCCCCCCCCAGATGTAAATATTGTGGCAGAAATTAGTATGTAGTTGATAGTTCAGGATTTTTATTTGGAGTAGTTCCTCTTTTTTTGTGTCCGTGCTCCGATATTATAAGGATATCAGGACCGAATAATAGGATACATTAGGATCGACCGGCGGACACAGGTAATTTAAACTTTTATTTGAAACATGACTGAGTTCCCAGACCCCAAAATGGGTACGTGGAACTTTTACCAAGATTCTGTGCTCATGAGAGATCTGCAGGTGTTCAAAAAATACAACTGAAATGTGATTAACATCTTTTATTACCAACTCAATTAAAAATATTAACAAATATGCGCCCTTAAACAACAGCGAAATAATATATATACAATTTGGTACAAGACTTAGAATGTAAATCAATACCAGTGTTAGGCCTAAATCATTTACCAAAACGTTTATGTATGTAACTTTACCAAAATTGAAGTTCAAGTTTAAGTTTAAGGACCAAGCTGGTAAGTAAAAGAAAATCCTTACTTTAAGTTAGGTTAGGCCTACTCGGAATAAAAAGTTTAGGACAATGAAAAATTTAAAAATATGAATCTTAAAAGGCAAGAAATTGAAAATATGACATAAAACAAACATTGAATTGAAATGACCTACAATGAAATCATTTAAAAATAGTATTTGACCAAAATATCAATAACAAGTTGCGTTTAAAGAAATACGTTCGAACAAACCTTACAGTTCAAAATTACACTCAACATTGACATGAAAATATTTAAATAGCAACATAAGACAATTATACACGAATATACACTAACATCAGGATAGAAATTTAATTTTAACAGTAAGAAATAGAATTTTTAAAATGGCAAAATTGTGGGGAAGAATTTAGTACTGGTGTTAACCGAAACTGAATTTAGAACAATTGGGCCGAAAGTTTCCCCCGTTAGAACAGAAATATTTAGCCTATTACTAACATAACATGGTACATACACAAAATAATGAAATAAACAAGGAAATGTGACACCCTACTAAATACATGAATTCTTGTAGCTTTGAAACACTCGTAGACCCGTAGTATAAATATACTGTATTCTTGTTGACTTTTAGTTTAGTTAGTTCCAGTTCCACAACTCAACTCGCAGCGATAGAGAAATAAAATCATTTAATTTGAAACAGTAAAACACAGGGGAATTTATAGTCTGTAGTTTAGTCCAGAAATAAGAAGTAGGCCTAGTTAGGGAGACACTAAGTTCAATTTGCTAGGCTACAGAATTTAAGAAGTTGAAACGGTAAAACTTTAAATTGGGGAAAAACTTGATGTAAAGTAACTGTTCTTGAAGAATGGCTGAATGAAAACGTTGGAGTAATAATAACATGGAGTAGATAGCACCTGGTTTGTAGAGATGAAGAAGGCCAAAGTTCTCGTAGAATGTTTCTGGGTGAAGTCCTTCCGCTGCGAGTTGGTTGAGGTTAGGCCTAGTTTAGTCCGGGGGCGACGCCCTCGTCTTGCTCCAAACTAGGTCAGGATCAGGAGGCATGATGTGTCCGCTGCTGTCGGTCCAGTACAGGAGCCCTGGCTTGGTGTCAAAAACAAATTTAAGGTTGCATTTTAGGAAGGTCGAACAATATAAACTTGGAAAATCTTCTTTCTTGAGTCTCCATAGTGCCAGTAAAATTTGGAACGTCAAACTCGTTGGAAGATTTCAAGTAGAGAGAACGTCTCCAAGCAAATCGGAGAAGAAGGGGAGTAAAGACAAAGTGGACTCGCCCACGGCCTTTGGCGAGCGTCGGCGTACAGTGCTTCTGCCGCAATATGTACTATAAGAAATACTCTCCTCTCTCAAACTGAGCCGACTGACACGGCTCATATTGATTGTCATATCGATCCGGAACATCAACAAACAAAATAAAAAGCTATGTATAATAGTTTGGCCAGCATATCTGAAAATATGCAAACCAACTGCTGTTCTTAATATAAGAAGGTTTCAACTGAATACGATAAGATCCCCGTGCGTAGAACGGGCACACAGCTAGTTGGGAATAAACATGTCTTATTTATGGCCATATTTTAGTAATAATGTAATCAGACAAGTTGAAATTCGCTTAGTCTGCAGGTTTGCTGCGGCAGGGGTATTTTTCTATTGTTTAGGTGCAATGGTAGAACATTATGACAATGGTAGATGTGTTATACTATATCATACCATAAATTTATGAACCAAATTTTATCAAACTGTGTCCTCCCCCCATTGCAAACGCAAAGCTTGAGTATAACTGCAATAAGCATTTTATACTTATATGCCAACCCCGTACGAAGGACGGTTGCTCTGCTAGTTATACAATAATTATATTATATAATTATTATTAAAATTACCTATTTACCTGTTATAATAGTACAAAAACCATGAGTTAAAATAGCAAGAGTTGAAAAAATAATCTTTATTATCTATTGCTGACACAATTCAAAAGATTATTACCTCAATTGGAGGATCTGCAACTCTATGTTGAAACAAATCAGCATGTTCTTGGCGAACCCAGTGAGCTGCTTTACGCCCAGACTCCTGAGACAGGGCAAACATCCTCTTGGCAATGTTTGATGTTGGGATAAGAAAGGGGTCGTCATGATACTTGTAGTGGGGTGCCAAGTAATCTCGCTTAACAGTGCTAGCTATTGCCTGCACACCAGAAACATGCTAATATAGATACATTGAATAGGTTTGAGTTTTAATGTAGGTTTTGTAGAAGTTACCAGTACCGGTAAGCCTTGTTTTAAAAGTTGGTTTCTCACCAGTGAGCACAGAGTTATCACACTTCCTGCACTATTTATTCTTGAAGCAGCCCTAGTGGCCAGGAAGAAGCCGGAGATCTTTTAAAAAATAATAATAAAATACATAACCACGGTACAAGACAAAAAATAACATACATGTAATCTAGCCTAGCTCACGGCGGACCAAGTTAGCCTACACATACCACACCTTAGGAAGAGTTTATAACAATATTCCACCCGAAATCAGAAGCATTGATAGTATCTCCAGCTTCAAGAACAGTCTTAGAACACTTATAGGCCAGTAAAAATAGGTTTTTGCCCGGAAATAATTCTCGGAAAGCTGGAAATCGTTTTAATCCTTTTGTCTTATATAGAAGTAAAAGGATTTGAAGTTTGTTCCATTTTTCCAGGTGAGCTTCTCGTTCCAGTGCTGCGATTGGCATTTTGTAGAGCTTAAACAAATAAATAATTTATTTCTATATTGAAGCGTTGTTGTATGCACAACGTTTACGGGGATAATAAAAAAAATTGTAAATTTAAATTCCCATGTTATTCTTATGGAGAATAAATAAACTGTTGAAGTTTGCTTGTTTATGGATATATTTAAACAACATTTTGTTTATTTAATACTAAGCTATCGACATTGCAATAAAAAACATATCTCAATATCTTCCCTGTAGCAGCAAACCTAAGAACTCACTAAAATTAATGTTAATTAAATAGGAAATAAATCTGACATTTTTTAGGGAATATTTTAGTATAAATCCAGCCAGGTAAATGGAAAATCATTTAGTCTACAGGTTTGCTGCGGCGAGGGTATTTGTAATTCGTTTTAATTACTTTGTAAATAATAATGTACTTGGAATCCATTTTCTAGAAGAAATATAAATGTTAAAAATGCAATGTTCAATAATTTCTTAATAAAATAACTTTATTTAAATTACTATAAATAGCTTTATATTGGTTCGATATTCATCACCATGCTCAATGGATGCGGAGTGTTGTGCTCTACAATCCCTTTATTATGTGTTTTTCTGTAGGCTGGACGGTTCTTTGACGTTTTAGTAAAAACTATAAAATAACCTTAAATTTCAAGGTTTTTGTGGTCCCAGGTCAGAAGCTCACCTGGAAAAATGGGACAAACTTCAAATCCTTTTACTTCTATGAATAGGACAAAAGGATTAAAACGATTTCCAGCTTTCCGAGAAATATTTCCAGGCACAGCCAATTTTTTAACTAATTTTAATGGCCTATTACTTAAAAGGCCGGTATTCTCTGTTGTTGAGTATCTAAACCTAAATGGCCTCATTGACGACCACGGTGCAGTAGAGCTTCTAGTAGAAGACCTACAAGTATCAAGCGTGTTGTCTTGAAATCCCTTTAGTTTAGCCTTTGAAACTGTATGGTCCAACTTAAAACCATATATCTTAGAGTAGGCCTACCGGTATTCAAAATGTACAGGCTATGTGCAGTTTTTAATTATGTACTCTTTAATGCATACAATCTAATAACAATGTGTGATAAAATTATTAAATGGGTTTTTCATAAACAGAGTTTATTGTCTCACAAAATTTAGAGATACTTTTGAAGTAATTTAGTCATTACAACACAAAACAATTATTAAATGGACATAAAATATAAATTGTATCCATACAAATCGAAATACCCTTCCCGATACATGTCAAAACATGTAAATATCATAGGTAGGCTATTTTAAAGTTGTTTCTTGGATGCCAACAGTTACCTTAGCCTAATAGGCTAATAGGCTTGATTATTAATAATCAATATTATTTTTTAGACAACTTTTTAGCGAATTTCCCCCATAGGGAATATTAGCGAATTTCCCCTAAAGGGAATAAGCTATTACCGTAGTACTCATGGTAAGACCTGGACCCGGGACCAATTTACTTTTTCGTTTTGAGGTCCCTAGAGACCAAAAACACCATCCGTTCAAATTCATATATATATATATATATATATATATTTATAAATAAAGATTAAACATTAATAAACTTAGTACCCAAGTAAACTTATTTATTAAAATATTTACTGACTATAGTTTCGGCTCTAAGGCCATTTTCAAAGTAAACAAAAATCAAAATAAGATATGTAAATAAATAAATAACATATGATTTTATAAAACTGTTCTAACTTGTAACATTTTGTCTTCATTGATTAATTTATATACTATATGATGTGTTGTACTTATTTTCATTAATATTTTCTCAATTTTGTTATTGTTTCATTTATTGGATTATTCAATTTTGGAATCATTGTATTTAAAATATTTGATTTGTTATTTTTGTAGTTCATATAAATATTAATTTCTTCTTTTACATTCAATTTTTCTCTGTCTTTTTCAATTTCTAATATTGTTAAGTTTTCTTCGATCTTAGTAAACTTATGTTTGGATTTTAGTAAATGATCTGCAAAATTTGATTTCATTGATGTTTTGTTCTTCGATTTATATGCCTGTATATGTTCGTTAAATCTAACTTTAAAATTTCGATATGTTTGTCCAATGTAGTATTTGTCACAGTCAGAACATTTAATTTTGTAGATACCAGATGCATTGTATATGTTTGCTGTATTGTTTGTTATAGGATTGTTGGTTTTATTGTGTATGATTTTAAAAATGTTATTTTTTGTTCTGTAGCTTAATTTTACTGGGGTATGTTTGAATGTTTTCCTGATTGCTTTGTTAAAATTGTTGTTGTATGGGACGCACATGAATTTCTTTTCTTCTTTGTGTTTCGAATTGTTTTCTAAGTTTGATTTTAATTCATTTCTTTTCTTAATTTCCTTCTTGATCATATTATCAATCATTTTGCTTCTATATCCATTTTTTTCAGCTAGATATTTTATAGTGTCGACTTCTTTCTTGTAATTTTCTTTATTTAAAGGAACGTTGACTAATCTGTGTATTAATGAATGAAAAGTTGCAATTTTGTGTGTCCATGGATGATTTGAATTTTTTGGAATTATTATGTCTGTAGTTGTGGGTTTTCTGAATATGTTAAAAGAATGTTTGTTGTTTTGGATGGGAATTGTCAGATCTAGGAAATTGATTTCTTTTTGTTGGATTTCTTTGGTGAATTTAATTTTCTTATATATATATTATATTTATATATATATATATATATACTAGCTGTAACCTGCGGGCTTTGCCCCGTTTAACTTCTTAATTTTCAAGATGATCTCGTTCGTGGCTCAATCACGTCCTGGTTGAAGTTTGTTCGCTACGCTTTTTCACCTTTGGGTTGGAGCTCGTTCGCTACGCTCACTCACCTTTAGGTTGGAGCTCGTTCGCTGCGCTCACTTGCCTTCAGGTTAGGTCGTTCGCTATGCTCACTTGCCTTCAGGTTAGCTCGTTCGCTACGCTAACTCGCCTCCAGGTTGAAGTTCGTTCGCTACACTCACTAACCTTTTGGTTGCAAATTAGCTGTTGTCATAAATGTAAAAGAAATAATAGTGCTGCACCCTGTTGGTAATCCTTGTAACTTTAATGCTATTGAACATCATAGAACAGAACCAACTTGTTTAATTGAAACAGCTGTTAAGATTCATTAATTCCATTTCTCATAAGGTTAACATGGGAAACTCCAGAGCCACTGGGGCGGAGCCGATTGGACGGATCACAAAATTGATGGTGTATAAACCTATTCCATGAAATTCTACACGTATGTACCAAGTTTCGTGGCAATCGGTTCAGCGGTGTCTGAGTTTATCACTGCCAAACAAATATATATATACAAATATCCTCTTTTATACTTATAGATACTAGCTGTTACCCACGGGCTCCACCCCATTTTACTACATTAGTATTAATAAAACTATTGATTGGTTAAGTTAAGATGAAAATAAACAAAGCAGAATACAAACAAATAATAACAGCTGAGGTATTTTTAACATTAGGTAAATGGAAAGTTCCCTTTGGAAAGCAATTACGACCTTATAGGGCCACTTATGAAATAATGGATAATTTTGCGCAAGGTTTCTCGTCATGACGAACATTTTAAGTATATGGTTTATGGGGGTGTGACTTGTAGTTTTCTCAAAAGTTCATGGGTACTTTTGGCTTTATATATAGATATATATTTATATATGTGTCCGTTAGCGCGAAGTACAGCCACAGCCTTCTGTAGGTCAGCACAAGTTATTGTTTAACAACACTTCAGCCTACTCGCACAACATTTCCAAACACTTCCTCTTCACAATATTTGACTACTATTACGCATGGTGTGCTTTATACTTAGTTATGTATGTATTCATTATGATGAAAAACATGTTAGAAAGAGATAGGCTATTAACCCTTCCAGGCAGGGCCTGATTACCCATTAGGCTAATTAGGCTGGAGCCTAGGGCGCCTTTAAGTTGGGACCGGGGGCGTAAAAGATGTTTTATTCCAAAAAAGGATTCGCGCACCTAGGTAGGTAATGAGGCGGGGAAGGGTGCGTTTGGCCGATTTTTATAATCATTATATTTATAGTAGGTCTAATAATTGATTTGTAAAAACATTTAATGATACTTTTTGTTGCAGATAGATACAGATAAATGATGTAAACTAAGTAATTCCATGGTAGTTAGATTAATGTACATTCAATACTAAAATGCTGGGGGAAGGGAGGGATACAGGTCCACGACGTAGGTAGTGGCGATGGAAGTGGTAAATTCGAGCAGTGCGGAGTGTGGGAACCGTTTATGGCATTTAGATTCATTAGTTAGATGAACATTTATTGGATTTTTAATCACTTTTAGATGATATAATAGCGCTATTGTTGATATAAATCATCATTGTAAGCAATACGATATTTTTTTGGAGATTCCTTACACTGTGCTTTGGCAATTTATTTAAGTTAGAATAGTTCAGTTTGGCTTAGTTTTGTTTATGATAGGCTTCATAACAAATATGGAAATAGGTTTTATTTAATCAAGAGACGTTTTGTACAGGAACGATGGATTTACCTCCTATCGATAACTGTTGGAAATCCATTACGTATATTACCAATGACTTTGGTTAATTAATGGACGAGAAGATAAGATTGTTGTTGACTGAGATTTAGTTGATTTGTCCATACAAATAACATTATTGTGTTCACCAGTGACACCGGTAAGTAGGCTAGGTGTGGGTGGACTCTTTCATTATTGCGCTCATGTTCACTCATCCCGTTACGCGCAGAATAAGCGTATTACTAGTTTAGAAAGTATGTATATTATTGTTTGGTTTTTTAATGTAAAATAAATACATTATTTTAAATAAAAATGTTTTACATTCCTTAAACAACCGATTTGTTACTATTTTAAAAGTTCCTTATCAAACTATGCATTAATTTATGATCAGTTTTCTTTTGTTTTTAAATAAACTGAATAGTAGTATAATGTCTTTGGCCATTTTTTTAAAATTCAGTATTAGTATTCATACTTCAAAATTTTGAAAGTGGTGGCAGAGAGGAGGCGTAGTGGTTGGGAGGAGGGGGGGCACTAAAAACGTCAGCCTACTGGCGACTAGACCCTTAATCAGGCCCTGCTTCCAGGGCTATGGACGAATATATATCCGTCCAAAAATCAAATTAATATATTGTTTATAATAGGAAAATAAACACTACACTGCATTATAAATGGGTTATTTTGTTTTTGTGGTTGGCAATAATACTTGCCGCAGCTGTTTCAGCTAGGTATATTATTTTGCACCATGGAGTGTGTGAATATTGCAAAACTATCACTTCACACACGGTTGTTAGTGATTGATGTTTACATTTGTTGTGTGCTTTATTTTTATGTTATTGAGCTAAAGTGATCAATCCAAACGATCTTAAATTTAAAGGAGATGTTATTGAGATGCATAAAAAAGTATGTCTGAGAGGAATTTCATACTTGGCAATGAAAATAATAGTATGTATGCCTAATGTAATGGATTTGATGAACCTGAAGAACAGTCTTTACGTAGTGGAAGTCTTGATGGGGAATGGGAATGAGGACATGGGAGCAGAACTGAGTGGTTTAGATTTACTTCTGAATAATGGACACATTTTTGTGAATTAAAAATCAAACAAGGGAAGGAATAGCCTAAGGTTGACAGATCCGTCTGCCGCTCATAAGAATAGTCAAGATTATTGGTAGTGTTCATATTTTGTGATTATTGTTAAGGATGGAAGACGGAATATCCATCCACCTTGTTTTTTCTGGGCCTACGGCCATATACACATAAGGGCGGCAGCCGCCGCGGTTGATATTACGCGTGAGCCAATAGTGCAAAAGAGCAAATGGGACCGTTCACATGCAACCGCCCACTTCCAATCAAGCGAAACAAACCGCGGCAGTCGTAGATTTCCCTTTGACCGCCGCGGCTCCCGCGCGGTTGGAGTTACTAATGTTGGCATGAGAGCATACACATGAGGGCGGAAGCCGCCGTGGTTTGGCTGCAGTTGCTACTAGGATCATATCCCCAGACATCTGCACGCTCGCGCTGTGGACATCGCTCTCTGTGAGTTGGTGTAGTGTGTAGCTGTAGCTGGATGTAGTGTTTGGAGTGTAAGTTTACATTGGCCACGCATGCTGCTGTGGAACCAGAAAACTTTGATATTGAACCGTTCATTGTAGAAGTAAAAAAAGAAGATGCATTTGGGACATGCAGCGACTACTGTATAGTAAAGATCGGGTTTAAAAAAGGTTTGCGAGGCAAGAGTTAGTTCAGTTTTTTGCTCAAAAGAATTGTCAAGCGGAACAAAGGAAAAACGTTGGTAAATACTGTACTGGCTGCCGAGTGACGGTCAATTCACACCGCAACCACAGCGGTAACCGCGGCGCCAGCCGCTGTCATGTGTCATGTGGCCTAGGCGGCCGCCGCGGACCGCCCTCATGTGTACATGGCCTAAGACAAATATATTTGTCAAATCAAATTTTATTTTCTTCAAAACTTTTGTAAAAAAATTAGTTCAGCGCTAAGTCCATGAATTTCAAGCAAAATAAATAAATGTAGCTTACAAAACATTTACTACATTATCTTAGTTTTTCAATTTTTGCAAAAAATAATTAGGCTCCATCCGTTTATTTAATTTAGCCCTGGAAGTGTTAAACCTCTCATATTGTTTGGTCCAGATTTACTTAACCTGACACTCACCTTTAAGACATCTGTTGGTCCCCTCTCAATCCTCTTTGGAATAATAACTTTATTTGAGTTTATATTTTTTGTTTTGTCTGAAGTAGCTTGCTGTTTGCTAATGTTCGTTATCTGTTGCTTTGAAATCTTGTCTAAAGACTTCTTAACAGAGTACCTGGAAAAAAGATTTTTTTGTAATAAAATAGGACCACGAGTAAAAAGCTGCAATTTACAAAAGAACAATGGCTTAGTAAATCAACTAATTCAGCTATGCATATTTCAATAAAAAAATACCCCCGCCGCAGCAAACCTTCAGACTAAGCGAATTTCCATCTACCTGGCTGGAATTCTACTAAATTATTCCATTAACCCATTGGCGCCGGCTTACGAGCGTTACTCGTACGGCCGCTGCAGGCCCGGCGGCCGACTTACGAGAGCCGCTCGTGTCACTGCTAGGCAGTGCCATTTTTTATTTAGTTATTATTATTTTTCGCCCTTTTTGTTTCTTCTTACTATTATAATGTTTATAAATAGGCCTATATTGCTTCTTGATTTGTGTATTTACTCATTTATTTTAGCGAATAACAAACAATTTTGTGTTGCAATGGAAACCACATATTACCAAAAATCAGCTGCGGTAAGGTAAACAAACATTTTTTTTTAAATGTTATTACTTATAAAAGTACACAACTTTTGATTTTTCTACGTAGGGAATCGATTGACCTTTATAATAGTTGTGTTATTTGGTGTCTGGATTAATCTTGGAATTTGTATATCAAGTTTACTTTCAAAATATTGTTTTTAAAATTTTTATTTTTATAATCTTTATATATATATATTTTTTTAGTTTAGAACTTTGACTATCCAATTACCACTTTTCTGTAGACAATTTTACTGTGAACAAAATGGTGAAAGAATTATTAATTTATTACCTAAGGTTTTCTTTCTATAGCAGTTAGAGTAAAAGTCTACAAATTCGGTAAAATTAATTGCCGCCAGAGGGTGCTGCAGGTAGCGATTAATTCCTTCCCCAATGGGTTAAATTTGTCAGATTTATTTAATACTAGAGCTGCATTCCCGTTCTACGCACGGGGATCTTAAAGTTAGTCAGTTGAAACCTTCTTATATTAAGAACAGCAGTTGGTTTGCATATTTTCAGGTATGCTGGCAAAACTATTATCGTTACCTTTAAAACTCCACAAATATAGTATCTGACAGTTTCAAGCCAAAACAAATTCATCACAATTAAACGTCACCCGGATCGTGTTGGTCCATGTTATATCCAATGATTAGATTTAAAAAATGCTTATAGATCTATGAGAATTAGCCCTAAGATAGGCCTATAATTGAAAGTTACATTCCACAATGCTCAAAAGTAGTGAAAATACTACATCAACCTCAACATTAAACACTTTATTCCGGATGACATTTTCATTATCAAAGGTGCTCTTGTCCTTTCTGTGTAACACTGAGAAATAATGACATTAATGCGTTAACAACAAACATACGCATAAACATACAGAATTTAATTAGGGAATTTGAATCCCACTCCAGTTGTGATTTTTCACTTACACTTTACACAACTGCCATTGAAACGCCGTCAATGAGTGAAAACCTTGTTTAGTAGTTGTATTATTGGCGACGATGATTTAATTAATTAAGTTTCCCAGCTTCCTATACAACACTGATTCAAGGTCTTTTTCCCGGTTATCAAAACTTCAGAACAATTTTATACACAAAGAATCTCTAATTTAATTTACGGTTACAATACACATTATTGAACTTGAGATTAAATAAATCCTTGATGTAAGGAAAATCGTTTTTAATCTCACTTGGTTTAGATTTTGCTTTCAAAACGTGATCAAAAATCTTTGCGGTACTGTATTTGTAAACAACATTTAATGTAAACATATCAGTGACAACTAGAAAAAATACTCTTGACCCAAACAGTTGTTCGTGATTTCATAGACGATTATGTGATAGACATTCGGAGAAAACTTGACAAAAATCGCACGAAATTGGGTTTTTAAACGTCCGTCATTTTATTTACAAAGTAGTGCGGCCATATTTGAATGGCTAAAGACACTCTCGCCAATCAAGTGAACACATTAAAATTATTTAAATCTTGATTTAAATATCAATAATTTTAATGAGTACCTACTTAGGTTTGCTGCTACAGGGAAGAAAATAGGGGTTTTTTTTAATTAAAATATTGGTAGATTAGTAGGCCTATGAAGTAAACAACATTTCAAAATTTCATTAAAATATTTCCATAGACAAGTAAGCTACAACAATTTATTTATTCTCCATAAGAATAACATGGTAATTTTAAATTTACACTTTTTTGGGAATTTTTCCGTAACCGTTAGGCATACAACAATGCTTCAACATAGGCCTACTAAATTATTTGTTTTTTTTTAGCTCTACAAAATTGTTTAGAAGGAAATTGCAAAATTTTAGTTTTCAGGGTGAAAATGAGAAAACCCCATTTATACCCCATAAAATCCCCCATAAACCCCTGTTCCCATAGTTCGATCAAACTGGTTCTGATCGCATAGGAATTGGACCTTAAGTGCTCTCTAATGTTCAGTATTAAAGAACGAGACTTAATGGGGAATTTAGAGGTTGAAAGTTAGGAGGTTCAAATTGTAGGAGTTAGCCTATGAGTTTTCTTAGTAATTTTAAAATAGGCCTAATGCATATTTCATTATAAGAAATTCTGCCCCATCATGGCTATATAGATAAACTGCAGACTAATCCTTTGGTAGTGTTACAGTCTATCCTTAACAAGCTTATCCTTACTTTAATAGGCCTAAGCTTTACTATTCTACATAATCCTGAAAAGGGTACAGTAATTATAATAGGAAATTTGCTAAAATGGGATTATTAAGTTAAATGGTGCTATACTAAAACAACCGAACTGAACCAAAACTCTAGAACGTTGGCAAACTACTTTTGATGTCATAGATTTAAACTTCAGTGGGTTAAATCATTAACCACTATTAACTGGCTGGGTAGCTGAGTGGTTATGGTGATCCTGATAAATAGGTTGACAGATTGATTATCAAAGCCTAGTGTAATCACAGCTTAAGTTTAACAAGTTTGCTACCTACCGCAATAATACAAAATTTCTCATTCATATAAACCAGCGACGCACATATGCAACAGCCGGTTTCTACCCATAGACTGCCGTCGCATATATGTAGGCTATATAGTAACATTAAAATAGACTGACGACATATATTTGCATCGGTGTTCCAATGTTATCAAATCTTTGTAACGGTCTATTTGAAGGCACTGAGTTTTCTGCAGTGGTCTACAGGGATGTCTGACGCACAACTGCGTCGCTTGGTCAGTGGATATGATGATTGGTGAGGTCATATCATAGCCTAATTGGAAAAACTGTTCTTTACTTTGCTGCATCACTGTATATAACTTATGTATGCTACATTATCCTATGTAGCTTTTATATTTGTTCAATTATAAACTGTTCTTGAATAGGCCTAATCCGTTTTTTTTTTTTTTTTTTTTTTTTACTAACGGTAGGCCTACTTAAATGGAACATTCATTATTTCTTTTCTCGATATTAATGGATATTAACAAATTTAAACATATCAGCTGACAACTACAATTAAATAGGATTGTTCAGTACCGGCAAACAATAATGAAATGAAACTGTTCTAAAAAATAACTAACCAAACTTGCTGTAACATTTAAAAATTCTGTGTTTAACTTGCCTTTTCTATTATCAAACGGCATTTTTATAAGGCACAGCAAGTTTGGTTGGTTATGTTAGGTTAGCTTAAAACAGTTTCATTTCTTAATCCATGAAGGTAATAGACTATTTCAGCCTAAACAAGATCAGTTGTCAATTTGTAATGGATCAAAAAACATAAATATCGATAGGCCTAATCGAAAAAAATCATCAATAATAATGAATGCTCCCTTCAACAGGGAAAAACCAAACTGACTAACCTCAAAACATAAACAAAAATGAACTGTCGAATATATGCGGCGTTTGGGCTATTTCAAGAAAAATATAATAATTTTCACTATTGTCTTCGCTATTGGCGTCGCAAATATGCAACATTACGATAGGTTTTTAAAAAACATAAAAGAAACAAGAATAAGTTAGGCTACTTATATTATTTACAAACATGATTGCAGCGTATTAAAAAGTAAATGATCCCTGTTCAACAGTATTTCACCTGTGGTCTGTGTGTACTGTTAACCAAGTGACAGCCGGTCTACGTGAAAGATTAAATTGGATACCCGCTCTGTAGCGAACGTGTTAAAATTAGAAAACTTGATATTGTCCATTAAAATAATTTGGAAAAACATTTTAAAGCAAATAGGGTTGAAGCATGATAAATAGGCCTACGTATGCCTAACTGGACAGAATGATTTATTGGGCTATTCTTCATAGGCACAGATTGGAGACTTTGGATAACTTATTTCTTAAAGAGATGAAAGTACGCCTAATTGTAGTAAAATCCTTCGGCGATGAAAAAAATAATGGTATAAGTTAACTTGGAACCAGGAGGTTAAAACTCTTGAAAGTAACTTAAGTTATTAAAATTTTAAAAATCGTTTGAAGGCATCTATAGTATAAAATTACCAAATCCAGTTATGACATAAATAAATAACAATGAATAACGTATAGTCCTCAGTATCCAATTAATAGTCAATGGTATAAGTTAGGCCTACCTACCTTAAAGAAGACACACTCTGAAGTGAATTCATGTTACTACTAAGAGTAAGAATCGGCTGTTTGTGTTAAAACTGAGCCAGTAGCCTTAATTGAAGCTCCATCAGTGTCATTAAGCTAAGCGAAATACTAATGTTTGTTTAAGTCAAGCCACTCAATATATGTTAACCAACGTGTGAAAAAATAAATAAAATTGAAACGAAATTATGTTTTGTTTCAACAGCAGACGATGGTAGAATGGTAGAATGAGAATGGGTAGAATATTGAAAAAAGAAATGAGTTTGAGGTTAGGGTAGCGGCAGGGTTTTTATTTCTTCTTTTCTAGTCTGCTTAAAGAAAGCTGGCATAGTTTACTTACCATGTAACACATGTTATTTCACAATGATCACGACTGTTCTACGCATTTTCCGAGCTTTATTAAACCGCTAGTTAGGAAATGCCAGACTGAAAAAAAGACTTAAGGGAGTATGCATGGTGGGGGAGTATAAGACGTAAGTCTCCGGATGGAGCTTTTGAATCCTTTATCTACCAGCATGAACTCTGCCTCGATTATCTTAGCTTAGCAGACTTTGTCCCAAGAAACTTGTCGTCTGTGGGGACTTAAAAACGTCCATCTTCAGACCCAGTCTAGGGAGGAAGCTACTTTTGTAAACTTTTTGCTAAGTTACGGCCTTCATGTAACTTCCAGACTTCCAACCCGTGGTTTGGCTTGTTTGGATGCAACAGCCACCAACGTAGACTCCTGGGACTACGAGGTAAGGGTTGTGAATCCTGTGGTTGCCGATCGTGATGGAGCAGTTCTCTTGAATATCAAGGCTGATGAGGTAAAGTAAACACTTCCTATGATTATATTAAAAGAACTTAGCTACTGAGAGATTTAATGATAAGGATAACCTGCCTTTGCTCATCAACGGATTAAATATATTGTGGGCTGGAACTGTTTACAACTCGTTACGGAGCCAAATACTGCATTCAAGTTATTTCTCGACTTTATCCAGGATAAGTTTGATTAAATATATCCTGTGAAAATCTGCAAACTTAGTAATAAAACGACTGAATGTACAGCAGTAGACACTGCGTTCCTTACGGATCTACATACATACATTTCATACATAATGAAATTATCTTAGTGCATGATCATTATAAACTTGCTGTTGACCAAAATCAAAAAGTTAAATATTTTTCTATATATTACAAACTAAAGAAAGCCTACCGAGGAATCGAAGAAAGCCTGTAACGTAAACAAAATTTTGAAGGCATCCAACACCTGCAAGGCTGCGTGGGATGTTAATGAGCACAGGAGGTCCTGCCCTCTGGCCCTAAGATAACTACATCCCCTGATGTTTTTAATGACTACCATTTTATCAGGATAGCTGATGATATCATCAACTACCTTTCGTTGTTGCAGCATGAAGACCCGGTTGCTGCAGTCACTGATTATGCCACTAACCACACACTAACATGTTGGACTGGACTGAGGTGAGTGAACGATATATTATATAAGTTTAGCGAAGGGCTTAAAAAATTAGCTGACAGCGAAGATATAAATGGTATCTCCTTCTCAAATACTAAATACTGGTATTATAAATCAGATATGTACACCACTAACTAAGCTAATAAACTCCCTTTCCTGACGTCCTAAAAGTTGCTAAGACCATCCCCATTTTAAAAAAGGAGATCCCTCAGGTCCGTCTAACAACCACCCCATATCCATCTTGCATGTGTTTTCTAAGGTGCTCGAGACTATGATCATAGACAAATAGAATAAATTTATTTATATTTATATATATATAATTATAAATAAATATTTATTCTATTTGTCTATGCCATGATGAAGAGGCAGCTGATTGAATATTTTGAAGGAAACAATTAACTTGCTTTCGGATGACCAGCACGGCTTTCGAAGCGGGCGCAACAACTACACAACACCGGTATGGATCATAAACATAAACAAATGACGTTTTTGGCCCGAAAATAAACATAATTTAACTTTGCTTAAATGGAACTGCCAAATAGTATATTTCATTACTAGGACCGAAAGTGGCATTTTCCGTCGCGCGCCCAATTTTTTGTGTGAGGCGAAGCCGAACACAGGGAACCCCAATTTCACGTGCAAGGCGAAGCCGAGTATGTGAGAGCTATTTTCACGTACGAGGCGAAGCCGAGGACGGGAATAATGGAGCAAGTGCCGGATAATAACTTTCGGTACGAGTTGTGAACGATAATTTTCATCACGACGCAAAAATATACAAACACAGAATAGCAGACCTCAGTATATTAAAACAATTTTATTTCTCAATTAATTTGATTGAACATCAAAATAAAATAAAATCTTCTAAAAAGAAACCTACGTATATTTCTCAATAAATTTTGTGTAAACATCAAAATAAAAGAATAACACAACTTTTAAAAATACATACAGCTGATTAAAATCATTAAATTAAACCGTAACAAAACACTAGCGCGCGTAGTGAATAAATGGAGAACTAATTGAGAGCGAGGGAAAGTAAATTTAGAGCGAGGGAAAATCAGCTGATCGATTTTCCCTCGCCCTAAATTAGAGCTTGGGAAACGACTACTTTCATTGATGTCATCTGTTATCGAAAATGAAAATAGTTACTTTCGTTAAGGAGTGATGAAAACATATGTTCAATGCTATTATTATAGGATTCGGGCCAACAACGTCATTTGTTTATGTTTATGATCCATACCAGTATTTTTCTAGTATTCGTGCTACAGCCCTAATGGCACAATTTGTTTTTCAGGATTAATTTTGCCAACAGTGTCATTTAGAGGCTTCTGATTGACTATAACGAAGGTTTAGTAATTGAAAAATTATTTTTGTTCATAGAATAAAATTATAAAATGCCTCAAATTCAATTTTATATTTTTTATAATGAAATTAAACCGTCATAACCTAACCAAACCAACCAAATGTGCTGACAATGAAAAAATCTAATGAAGGTTTATTAATCGGTTTTATTTACAACAAAACTGTAGAGTTTTATTTAGTCAGTGACAGTGATAAGAGAGTGCTGGCCAGCCTTTACAGTTTTAACCAATTTTATCACTTTTTATTCAATTTTAATAATTTGATCAACATGACTAGTTTTTACTATTGTGAATCTGACAGTGTTTTAAAGAATCTTTTGACATACCACAATGTATTTATACATTGAAGATGTGGTTGCATACAATGACCTGACGATGTTCTAAGGAACGAAACTAGTTGTCATACTAGCAACTGAGGTTGGATAAGGTAATTCTTCCCTTTTATCAATTATATATTCCAACCAAGGGTCACAATGAATAACATAAAATTAAACTATCATAACCTAATTTAGGTTCCTAAACCAAACTAACCAGAATTGCTAATAATGAAAAATCAAATGAAGGTTTAACCGAAAAAAATATTTCTGTTCATAAAATAAAACTATAAATGGGTCAAATTCAATTTCATAATGTTTTAATTATAAAATTAAACCACCATAACCTAACCAAACCAACCAAACTTGTTGATAATGAAAAAAATCCAATACAAAAAAATAGTGGTATGGGTGAGATTCGAACCCGGGTCCTTCGGATCATCAGCCCAGCACTCTATCCACTAGAACACCGAGGCCGTTGACGTCAACCGTATCGTCGCGGTAATGATGTTCCCTCAGCCAATCAGAAGCCTCAAAATAATACTGTAGGCAACACTAATCCTGAAATAAAAATTCAGCGCCCTAATGAATCTGACTGACCTCATCACAGATGCCTTGAAGTTAAAATGACTCAGTCATGCTGAGGTTATGTGATCTGAGTAAGGAGTTTGATGTTGTTCCCCATAACATCTTTCTAGGGAAACTGAAAAAGTATGGTATTAATGGTCCAGTGGTGTGATCCCTGCAGAACTATTTGGAAAATCGTTGGCAAATTGTTTCAGTGAAGGAAATCTCCTCGAATGTCCAAGGTATCCCCCATAGCGTTCCTCAAGGTTCGGCGTTAGGTCCCCTATTATTTTGCATAATGACAAATGACCTTTGGATAAACGGCTGCAACCATCCTTTTTGCAGATAACACCACCTTTTTGGTGATTATAGGAAAGACACTACCCTGTTGAGAGAAACAGCTGACAAGCTACTTGTTGAGGCTAAGTCCTGGTTTGTTGCGAATCGCTTCAAAACAAACTATAAGAAAATACTCAATCATCGATGTGTACCCTCAAGTCGAGGGCTGATCAGGAGGAATAAGCCGTTTAAGCTGTTTGCGTGCTGGCTGGAGTGAGCATTTAAAAAGGTACATCTCCTGGTTTGAAAGTGTGGTGAGATATGGAATAGTACATTATGTGGGTACTTATCCTACCATATTACAACCTGTCATCATGAACCAAGACATGCACTGAGGAAAGTTTTTGGTTTTAAAAAATCTGATAGAGTATAAGCTATCTTTTTGAACAAGAAAAGCTTTAAACCTTCAATCAATTGCATGTACTTTTTGATTATGTTTGTTTTTAAATATCCATATATGTTTAATATGAAACCTATCAATAGAATACCTATCTCGATAAGCACAATTTTACTTGTTGGCAGAAAGCATTTTTAAAAAGGAAACTAGTAGAGGCATCAGTTTTGTTGTCTTGGTCCAAAACGTTTTGATGCGTTTGTAAAAATGTTCGGTAATGAAGTTTATAATGAAAAGGTCTGGGATAAAGTCATAAGCTTGTTGTTTTCTATCAATAATAATATAGCATAAATAATTTGTAACTTATTTTTGGCTTTGTTTTAAATAAATAACTATATTTATATTTGCATGTCTAATTATTTATTGTCTTTCTAAAAAAAGGATGAACGTTATCTCGTTTTTCTTATTATGATTCTAATTATTCTAATTTGTTTATTTATAACATAAGTATTATTTATATTGATTAAAACTGTTGCAATAGGAAATGTACTCACTGTTCTGTAAAAGTGATAAAGAGGGAAAAACGAACAGTTTGTTGCCAGAAACAAGAAAATGAAATGTATTAGTAAAAATATATGCTTTTCATCCCGCACGTGCTTTGCATAGCACATGGGACTTTATAATTGATTTAAGAATTGCATGAATAAAATTGTTTGAATTGAATTGAATTGAACACACGCACACAAACACACACACACACACACACACACACCTACCCCAACCTCAAGAATTGACAATTCCCTGGTCTTCCAGACTACGGAGAAGAGGAGGCTGTATGTATTTATGTATATATGCATGGCAAAAGTAATTTGTTTC